GATTTCCAACCATATACAATATTTAAAAGGACTGAAAAATGTCTAACAGTATTTGAAAAATATACTTTTTGACTGTATTTTTCTGCTCAGAGATCCTTTAATCCATGGAAGAGGCAATATGAGAACATTGTTCTCAATCTAGCAATATGAAAGTGTATTAAAAATGAGCATTTATGTATGTATATGCAATAAAAAAATACATCAGCTGGTACCACTGTGTTTGAAATGCCAGTTGCTTCTGAACTGAAATGTGGAACAAGAAAATCAATCTCAGACATTCTGAAAATTTAAAATATATCAAAAAATTAAGTCACAAAAATCCTTAAGAAGTATGTTAATTTAGAGAGGTATTCTAAATCCATCAAATGTCACAGAAAACATCTGACACTGCAGGAGTAACTAAATCCAGGAAAGCTCACTGTTGCTATCAGAATTTTGTACTTGGCATCTAGCAAAAAGAATTTTTACCCAAAACTGATTAGAAATTATTGGTGGAAAACAGAGAGGCAGCTTTGTCTTCCCATTCTAGGGTATGATCCTGCAATAGCTGAAAATTTAAGGAAAAAAAATTTGGTATTTTTCTACTGTATTATTTTTTACACTAAAGTTCAGAGAAGATGGGTACAGAGACCACTTTTTATCATACATACAGCTCTTAGATTCTCTTCCTTTACATTTAATACATCCAGTTCCTGCTGTTGAACAACCAATTCCTAAAGAGGAAAAAAAGTGCAAAATTCAGATAAAAATTACTACTTGATTACTTTTCGGTTCTAAACCCTAGTATTTATCAAATGCTGTAAAGCATCTTATTGTTGCTCTTAAAAATTTTAAAGACAAGACTGTGTCCAGTTCCTTTAAGTAACTCAAATCTAATAACCACTTACTTTCAGCATCCAACTTTTCTATTACTCTTATCAATGTTCTTTACAGTTGGGCTATGATGAGAAAATTGCCCTTTTTCTACTATTTTTTCTCAAAATCGGTAGTGAGAGTGGAACTTATTATTTCTACTTCAGAAGTTTAGAGTCAGATTTTAAAATCTGAACGAGCCACCACAGTTTCTTCATAGTCCAGAAAGAGACTGGCCCTGTCTACTGATTCAGCTCATCCTAAGACAGCTGGGAAACACTGGTGTCATCTCTGCATATTCTATACAGAGACATTTTTAGCCTGTATAACTTAAGGTAGATCATGTCAGAGAGCCTAGAAATCTTACTCCTGTTGTTATCATTAGGAATAATGAAGTCACAAATATTTTATAAAGCCCACTTAATATATTGAGACATACAATAATAACAACAGAAAAAACCTAGTCAGATTCAATTCTGTACACAAGAAGAAAACTTTCTACTCAGAGGAACTACAAAAACTGCTGTGGTTATTTTTCCCTTCTACTTGCTTTTTACACATGATGAAACGTAAGCATTGTAGTGGCTTTTAAAAATCTGCATGTCAGTCCCCAAATTTAAAAGAAAAATTAGGAACACCGTTTATTCTTAAAAAAATAAGGCACTTTTACAACTGACTAAGATACCAGCAAGATTTTTTATTCTATTAGTCTGTTGTAAAGCTCTTCTGTACTTAAATCTACAACCCTTGAAGCCTGCTTGAAAAATATTTTAGGTAAGTAAAGTGAAACAAACCAACCTGGGAGAGTTTTTCATTAGCAGCCTTCATCTCCATATATTTAGCTTGATCTTCCTGTGACATATCTTTCATTATGTCATCTGCCACAACCTTTTCATGTTCAATATCTTCTTCTACAGCTTGAATTAACTTTTCTGTGCTGTAAAAACACAATGTTCTTGTAACTTTTACTAGTTGATGTTTTTTGTAAGCACTCATTTCAAACTTCAGTATTCCTTCACCCTCACTGAAATGGTCCTTTAGCACAAAAACTCCAGACTCTAAAAAATAGGAGTTACCTACTTGTATCTAATCTTCTTGGAGCTGGATTAGCTATACAAACATTCACACTGTGAAATACAGAAGCTGAAGAATTCCCTGCCCCTACAATACCCACATACTGCTTTCCAACACTTCCAACCTGTCTAACTGCATAGGCCTCAACACTGGTAAAAGCAGACTACTCTCTCTCAGTTGCTCTTAACAGGTGAATTTCCAGAGTAACATCTGGTAGTTTGAAATAAAGAAGTTGGTAGGTGATTTGTGAATGCACAAAAAGAAAACATATAACATAGACATCAGGACTTGATGGTACCACATGATGATGAAAAGATTACTTTCTTTTTGAAAGGAATTGTTAGAATTCTGAAGAATGGAGAGTGAGTTCAGCATCTTAAGCAGTGTAGAGTTTTTTAACCATGCAATAAGTAAGAAATTAGGCATTCCTAACATTCTTGATTCATGAATTTAATCTCGTTAGGAAATCAATAGGCTGCAAACATAAAAACTCTACCACTGCAGCTATAGTGAGCTACAAGCAACTGTCTTAGCAGAAACAAGGAACACATAAAGAACTGTTCTCACTGTGTTGTATCAAGTCTAATAGTTTCTTTGAAATTCATGAAAGCCAGAGTGAATTTAAGAACACAGCTAAAGGAAATGAACAAAAGCTCCTGAGACTCTGAAGAGTATACCTTCCTTTCCTTCACTGTTCTTTAAACATTGTTTAAATGGTTTGCTTGTTTCCAGAGTGAATTCTTTCTTAGAGAATGAAAAAATCAGCTCAATACCTTCCTTCAGGATTTTTTTTTCTTCTCTTTTTCATTAACTCTTCCTGAGTTGCAAGATGCCGAAAGTTGTAAGTTGTGTAATTGACACTATTGGATCAAAGACTGCAGTCAAGAATGCACTCAGGCTTAAGAGATGATGTAAAATAGAGGAACTGCACAATGACAATCTCAGGGTAAGGGAATAACAAAAATATCACAGAAGCACAGTAGACTTCACGTTGGAATGGACTTCTGAAGGTCATCTGGTCCAGCCTGTGCACTAATCAAACATGGTCACCTAGAGCAGGTTTTCAGTGTCTTAGGCAGGTTTTCAATACCCTGAAGATCTTCAAGAAAGATTTATACTCTCCAAGAATCTGAGGATGTTAAGTAGAAATTCTGTCATGTGACCAGTTTGTGCTGCAAAGATGCTTTGGACTCTGATGATGATGATGAAACAAATCAAAGTGATGGTCTCCCACTTTCTGCAGCAAATCTGGAGTGCATTGGGACTGTTCAAGAAATACTGGATGGTTGTATTATGACATTAAATTTAACACCCTCTTGAGAGCATTTGGTTCAGATCCAGTCCAAAGAATGAGGCCCTCACTGCAAGTACACTAGTTTATGAATGTATAATTATGTTACATGTGGTAGTGGAAAGGAGTTATTTTTAAGCTACAAGAGTAGTTTGATACAAGACCTGCTGGAAAGCATGGAACTGGGAGCAGAGAGCTTTCATGTAACTTCCCTATTGGACACTCCTTCATGCCTCAGTCTGGGCCTATGAAAGCTGTTGTAACATTTCAGCAGTGACAGTTTCTCTCAGATCAAGCCCAACTGAAGACATGGAAGAACAGAGAAATTGCGGTGAAGAATTCAAGAAAATGTTATAGCTGCTGATTCCAGAAGGAATCTCCACACTAGATGTAATTCTCCTGGAGGGACTGCAGTGCTGACTAGAGAGAGTATTTAAGTACAAACACGGTACCTTTTCCTGGAGATCACTGGAACATTTAGGGTGGGAGAGAAGAACACAGCTTGCTACATTTCTCCTGGGTTCCAAAATACCATATGGAAGTAGTGGCATGGCAATACCAGTCTTGAGAGCAGTAGTGTCTGCAAGCTCTATTGTATATTTCTCCTCTATGCCTGAGACTGCAAATATGCACAGCTGGGTAAGGAAAGGACCCTAGTTTTCCAGCCCCATCTATTTAAACTGTGTGTGGAAACACTATGGACTAGCCTCTTCACCTGAGGCAACTCTCCTTTCCTTATGTAATATGGACTCCTGGCTAAATACTTCAAGATGTTCCAGCATGTTTTTGAGACTAGGAGTGTCTGATTTAGTTGTGATGAATCTTCTCTGGAAGAAAACTTCTGACAGAGGGCTGAAACTGGTTGCTTTTCCAAGAGGTAATAAAAATGTCGGCATTTTGTGGCTGTCACAGAAACACAATTCATTACCACGAGTAATTTGAAGACTGTGGATGAAGCTGAGCCAGGGATGAGGCTTGGAAAAGTTGCAGAATGTTAAGAGATGTTAAGCAAAAAAACAAAGTGGCAATAAGATCAAAGAAGGATAGTGAAGTAAAATGACATCTCCAGCCACATGTTTGAAAGGAATGGAGAACGAAAGGAGACTTAGCTGTTCCACAGTTTGATGGTATGCACTGGACAGAAAGAATGAGCACTAAAGCAAGCAAAATTTTATTTGACACAGTGTTTGTATCAATATAATCCCTTTTCAATCTGCATATACATATATGTTACCAAATCAGTGCAAATATAATTTTAGAACTTCCTCCTGAAATATAGCCCTTACAACACATGTACTTAACGGTGCTTGCAATTCTTTGTAAATAATGAGCTTTATGTATCACACCGTGCAGCTTCTCTGATGATGCTTCCAAAACACAAGAATTAACACAGATTTAACTAACTACTAGAGAGCTTTACTTCAGTATGCAAATACCTTGACATTTCCCTCATTTGATGAATGATCACATAAAAAAAGCAAGTCTTTTTCTGTCTCCAGCATTTCTTTAATTGATTATAACTCAACTTGCTTGTAAATTACCTATGGCATTTTGACTCAGTGCTTCCTCTATGATCTGGAACTTGACACTTCAGCATAATACTATTAGACATTCCTATTGGTTGCAGATCCAATTAAATCCAAGATGATTATAAGAAGTTGCTCAACTTAGTCAATCTTTTGCTAAGGATTTTCCAGGCTTATTATTTTTTTTACACTGCCTGGTTATTCATCAAGTACAAAGGTTGAAGCAAAACAAAGTGCTGTTTCACCATGTTATTTCTTGTCAGTGCATTGAAAAACCCACACATGCGTATATATGCTGCCTTTAAGAAGCAACAGAAAGGTAAGACACTTGGCACATCTAATTAAAAATTCAGACAAAGATTTATTAGTGTAACTTTGTTGCTAGTCTGGAAACAAATACATCTCAAAACTTCAGGAATTACTATGAACCTTGGACATGCAAAGTTGTTAAGTAAATTGTACTTCATTAGAAAGCTGGGGAACAGTCTCTGAACAGACTACCCGATTGTATAAAGTCTATTACCTCACCTATTAAATGCTAAAATCTTCAAAGTTCTCAGAGGAAAATTTTTAAGAAAGCACTTCTAATTACAAGAAAACGGTAAAGTATTACCAATGTATTTCCAGGTTGAGTTTCTTCCCATAGTAATTAGTTTAAACAGCAATTCTTAAAGTCTGGTTCTGGTAAAGAGCTAAACTGCAACTAAATTACAGATGCTTTCCTGTTCTTCTACTGATTATACAGGTTCACGCACACAAAATGCAGGAAATCACATTTGTAAAAAAACCCCTAAGCTTTCAGTAGAAACTAAAGTAAAAACTATGAACTGTTTTTCACTAAGACACATGTACAACTTAAATTTTCAACGTGATTGTTATTAACTTATGGATAAACTTTAAAAATAATATTTAATATATTTTCCCCACTCTATTAAAGATAGTTCTTTTCTTAAAGTCTGTGAAGTGCAATATTATTGTTAATCTGTATTTCCACATTACCAGGTTAAGACCCACTCTGTTTCCAAATACCTTGGAAGCAGTGCCTTTGAGGACCAAATATGTCCCATGTTCCAACTGTTAAAATAGTTCTGGAGTTCTCAAACTGCATCATGTTTTCCACTAGCAATACACAAACTGGCTTCAAAAATATGCAGGCCACCAGTACCATCAGTGACAAGAGTGATACCTATGGCAGGGCATAATTCCACAGTGGCTGCTGATGCTAGCACCCCTTGTCCCTGATAATGGCTCAAAGGCACAAAAGGTTTATGAAATCTTTTTGTATTTAATGTAAGTTTCCAGCAGAAGTAGAAATACACAGTGGATCAGAGCAGAGTAAGTGGCTCTTAACTTCCTCTTCTTTCCTAGAAGTTATTAAGTCTCTGGGCTGATTCAGTTAGGTGAATGAGGTCAATCCTCAGACATGCAAATATATAGAAGCTATTAAGTGACTTGATCAATTTGTTCTATGACCTCACCTATTCCATTCTCATCAGCAGAGGCCTCCTGGCACTTTCCTTAAGGATGGTGGAGTTTTTTAAAATCTAACTGGCTGCCTGTATTTAGCATTGTTCATGCAACTAAGCTTCCTTATGTAATTTCCCCCACTCTTCTCTGCTAAATTCAGTGAATACTCTGTACAGCTCAAGACACAATAAGCACTTTAAGCAAGTACCTTACACTCTAGCTTTCAGGTCTTTTTTACTCTGGAAGATAGAAGTCTTGGAAGGAGATACTGAGATTCACTTAACCCTCTATCTTTTCAGATGCTTAAGAAAAAAACGCAAAAATTAAACATTAATCTACCTTTTACGTAACATTTTCCTTCAAGTGTGGCGCAAACAGGGACTGATTTAACATCTGCCAGACATAGTTCAAAATGAATAGATCCTGCAAATAATGCCTAATTCAAACAGAATAATGAGTGCCACTTCCTCTGAGAGACGTTAATGTCACAGCGGAACTGTGTAGGAAATTTGTAGGAACTTCGCTGAATTTCAAAAAATAAAGCTGAAATCTGTACAAAAACTCCATCACAAGAGATTGAACCATGTTTACTTCATGCAATACGGAGGTCCAGGTTCATGTCATATGATATGTTATATTAGGGACAACAGTGAGATTAAAATACCAATCTACTACTTAAAAATTCATAAAAAGTGCTTAATAACTTATTTAAGAACATAAAAGAAATTGGACTGGACAAACCAACCATCCATCTACTGCAGTATTTTGCCTCTGTCAGTGGCAACAAGGGAAAGTGTTTAGGGAGAACATGCCAGCCTGAATACTTTCTGCAGTTTACATCTAGCACAGTCTTCCAGTACCCATAATGGCTTTGTCAGGGATATTAATGAGTACAGCCCTGCCTATTTGTTTTACACATCTATGAAACTTTTACCTATTTACTCGTCTAACCAATCCCTTTTTTATTTACTGATACAGTTTGCTTACTGGATTTTAAGTTTGGCTCAATTAAGGGAAAGCTGAATTCATTAATTCTGATAGCCTCTGTTTTTCTGCTTAATTTTGCATTTCCAAGTATTTATGTAGAACAAAATTTATTAAATTGTCATTGAAATAACTATACCTATTAATTTATTAAACTACCACAACAGTAGACACTGGTATTCTGGTCTTGGTATACAAAAGTGTTGTTTTTTACTAGGCTCTAAACATGAAACATTCTTGGCTTGTGATATGGGTTGGAACATTGTTTTTGAATCCAGTGACTGCTGACTGCAACATTACTTCCCAAACTGTAAGTTTTATACAGATGTCAACTACTCCTATTTTTGAAAGATACACTTGAAGCAAAAGGCATTTTAAAAACTGTTTCAAAAACATAAAATTCCTGAAGAAAGAAGTACAAAAAGACAAATAAGAAGTGGTTTTCTGAGAAATGGACAATTAACTGATGGCAGTCATTGTAAGTGGGTGAATCATCACTGAAACACATTTGAGATGGTTTTATATCTCAGACAAATTCCTCCACAGACAAAAGGAATGCCTCCTGTACATATATAAATAAATCTCTTCTTTTCAAAAAACATAAGTATTTCAAGGTATTGAGAGTAAACACTCCAATCTGAAAAGACTGCAGCTATGCTAAACTTCAACACAGAAAATTAAAATTAATTTAGGTGATACAAAAAAAAATATAATAAATGTTTTGTTGAGGGTCTGCTCTAAAGATGTTTTAAAGACTAAACATAGGTGTTTTTAAAACAATACATTTTAAAAGGTGTACTTGAATTAATTTGCAGAATAAACTTCCTCTGTGACACCCTTCCAGATTATGTGGGAAAGAAATCCTTTTTCTACCCAGTCAAGCTTCATTTCAAATTTTAAAACAGACGCCCCTATTAATTCCAAAATAGCATGTCATAGTGGTTATTTTGGATGATCATCATAAAAAGAGCCTTGCAGCTCAGAGTTAAAGCACTAAGTCGTCAGGAACTTCAGGTCTTTATCCACTAGGAAGATTAATTCTCATGTATCAGCAGACCATAAATTAATTAAGAAAGACATAAATAAAACTGCATGAAGAGCAGTAGAACTTTTCTTTTAAAGTGGTAGCATTGAAAAAATACCAGATCATATTTGCCTTTAACAGTCATCAGTGAGACATCTCCATTACCAGACTTTTGTACAGTATTTAATTGTCATCATTCTCTTTTTTTCAGCAGGTCATTTGTGACGAGTCTGGAAAGAACCTCTCTAATATCCCCACCAACCTTTCTCAAAACGTTACTAAATTAAGCCTCAAAAACAATAAAATCACTTTAAAAGATAGTGACAAAGAGATTCTTGGACGTTTTATTAACCTCACTGAACTTCATCTGAATAAAAACAGGATTACTGAACTGCACAAGAACAGCTTCTGCAATCTGAAAAAACTCATAAATCTGGATATCAGCAACAATCATATTAGCACAGTTCATAAAGCAGCATTTGCAGGATTAAATCAACTGTCCATGTTGAATCTATCCTATAACATGATTGCTCAATTAGATTCAGATGCATTTACTTCTCTAGAAAGCCTGACGGTTTTAAATCTACAGTGTAACTTACTGAACTACCTTCATATAAAATCATCTTTTAAATTGATTAAAATTGTTTTAGCTGGAAACCCGTGGATCTGCTCCTGTGACCTCCTTGACTTACAGATATGGCTAACTGCCTCCAATGTTACATTGGGTAAGTTTTGGTAAGAGCAGCGTTTCACACTTGTTTACACCGAACAGCTTTACCTTCCTTTTTTTCTGCTGTGGATAAAATCCACCATCAACTTACCTGCATTTTGCAGTAATACAATAGCTATCCACGAGATTTTTTTAGATTAGGGTGCCAAAATATTAACAATATCTCACAGCCTTTTCACTGCTCACATTCACAGAAAATGAAAGCAACACTACATGTACGCTACCAACCAAGAAAGAAATCTCCATCAAGATGGCTATCCAACCAGCTGACTGCAAAATTGAAAAAACTTCTTTAGAAAACACTGTAACTTCCACTCCTGTCATTAACCTTAGAAGTAGTGCCTTAATAACAGCTCTGACTCCAAACATCACTGGAAACAATGGAACACATGCAGGTAATGTACAGATGCTTCACTTTACTGCTTGTAAGCTGTTTGATTTGCTGTTCCATGACTTTATACCATTTTGTATGCCTAGCACACCCCCATTTTCCATAAAAAGCCAGGGCTACAGAACAAGCATATTTCCAGGTTCTGTTAGACAGTCACACACATTATGGTGCACATTAAGCTCTACTGAGTAAGTGTTCAAAACGAATAAACCACACAAACTCCCAAATGATATTGAAAAATGATGATGAAATTTCAAAGCCCTGAAATTCAAATAACTGTCTAGATGTCTAACTAAGAGAAGTAGGAAGCAACTTAAAAATATATATATATATTTAAAAAAAAAAACAACAAACTTTTCCCAAACTAACTGGTTTTTAGAGGTAGTTGTTTTCCTAAAATGTGAAAGTGTGACCCTACAGATTTTACTCCTGCCCTCAGCTGTGTTTGGTATAAAGGACATGGATGCGCCCGTCACATATTTTTTGGAAATTTCAGTGACACTCTCCTCACCTTTCTATGTTAATTCCATCATTATTCTCTAATACTCTAGTTTGGTTTTTGGCAAAGCATCCATATCAATCTACAGATATATACACAAATCATAAGCCACCACTGCCACACACTTCTGTAGCTGAACCAGGCTATAATCTATTTTAGAACTGTGGCAGGCACACAAAATCAGCTTCTAAATAAAGACTAATGGCAAGTCTTATTGACATTTTTACTACAAAAGAAACACAACTGAAGGCATATACCAAACAAAAGGTATAATATTTTAGGGTGCAGACATCATCTCCACACAGAAAATTAAGCCTGGGAAATAGAATTTGAAGTCAATTACTGATCATTTTTTTCCAAAGCCTAATTTTTGCATTTAAATTTTGAAAAAAAATTATGTTATCTTTTATGTGTTCCTGGACCTTTATCTGACTTTGAAACTATTATTTTTTATAAATATGCATGGTAGATTTATATTACTAGGAAATATGAGATGCACATATATTTTTGGTCTCTGTGATGTTACTGACTCCTTAATAGCATAGCAATAACATTATACTAAAGCTCTGCAGACACTCACTAATTCTCTATCGTTGTTTATTTTGTGAGCTCTCAATTTAACCATGAAAAAAAAATCCTACTAGAGCCCTTGCTAGAATTACTCATGAAAATTACACTTCTTTTTTCCTGTTTGTTTTAAAGAGTTACCACTTCTTGGCAAAAGTTGGACCTTCCTGGCAGGTGTCCTAGGATTTGTCCTAGGCACTACACTCCTGATTTTTACTGCTGTAAAATGCCCAACATGGTATCATTATGTGATCAGCTACCGACACCGTCGTCTGGAAGAAAATGACCCAGAGAGGTTTGAACAGGAGTTCTCAGCTGATATGAGCCCTTCTCCTTCAGTACTGGGTACAAACAGTGAAGAACCCATTGTAATCTTTGAGAAAATTCATGCATTTGGGGATGCAGAAGATGGATTTATTGAGGATAAATACATTGATTCTTATGTAAATGAGGAGAGTTAATGTCTTAAACAATGAATAATGCACTGACTTTTCAAAAATGTAGAACACTTGTACTTCCATTTTACACTACTCATGTACAATACAAAATGAAGTTATGCAGTCTATCTCCTTTCATCTCGACAAATCCATAACAAGGTTTTGCTGCATCAATCATGAAGTTCAAAAATGTGGTGGTATGCATGTATTACTGGTACAACAAATACCTCAAAACATGCAAAAATACTTATAATGCACGATTTATGAAAATCTTTTTGGCTACTTATGTCAGGGTATGGGGAGTGCTTACTGTATATTGCTTAACATGAACAAGTCTTTAAAAAGTAGCAAGTGAAGTTGGCACAATCACTAACGCTCTAATTCCAAAGAGGTCTAGAAAAGAAAAATAATTTCTCCAACATTTTGAAGCACACCACAGTCAGACTGGGGATTGAATTCAAATCAGTGTTGTCACAGCTCAGTAGTCTATTAGCCAAAACCGACATAATCATACAACACAGCATTTGGGTATTGTTCTACCTAAATTAGCAGAGTAAGAAAGACCAATTGCTGTATTCTCTTAAATGTGTATGTACAGTACAATGACAAATTATCATTCCAGTGTACCTAATGCCTTTATACCTTAGTTTGCTACTGAACCAAGTAATTTCTCTTCAGATTTCCTTAACATTTTAAAAATGCATTAATCAGTAGAATAAACACATTTGTGAGCTGTTGAAAGCAACAGTATTATTGAAATGTGACTTGTTATAAACTGGTAAACTGTTTTTTCAAAGTGCTTATTGATATATAAAATCTCATTCTTGAGATTGCTTTCAGTGGTATCAAGCACAATCATGTATCGTTCTCCTGCACATCTCCTGTCCCTAAATCAAACATCTCAAAAAGTCACTGTCTCAGCCTATTGCTACACAAGCCATTCGCCTGGCTTACAAATTCCTACTGGAAAAATCCTGCTGTCCTCATCTTTCCCTCTACACAACCCTACCTTACCAGGCAGGTAAAGATTTAGTTCCCACTTCTGCTTGCTTTTCCCACTCTGTTACTCCACAACAAAACTCCCAAAACTGAGGACTTTGACAGCAGATTGCCAAGACAGGAGTCTCCACCACCACCTAACTTCTTGGACGACACGGTAAGTCTCTCCAGGGCAGTTACTGCAATTTAAACCTAGGAGCTCTAGCTGCAATCTGGTACTAATGCATTACCTCGAAACTGTTCAGGTATCATGTGTCATATGCATCCCACTGTTGAGGTAGGAAGTAACACCTCCATTTTCTGGAGTTCAGTTATGGTCTTAACAGCTTTGGAGAAGCACATACTTAATATACTTACGCTTGTCTTTCTGTGAAAATTTTATCCATACTCTGAGCATCTTGGTCATTCTGAACCTTTAACTTAAAAGATATAATATTGAAATACAATCAAGTTTGTAATAAATCATAAAATCATTTAGGTTGGAAAAGACCTCCAAGATCAAGTCCAACCCTTAACCCAGCACTGCCACATTCACCATTAAACAATGTCCCTAAGTACCATATCTATGCATCTTTTAAACGCCCCCAGAGAAATCGATTCACTTACTGTTACTGTGGGATCTAGTCCTGGAACACTTAGTAAGATACTGTTTCAGCCTCCAGACAAAATGAAAATTTAACACTTGCAAAGCATTTTTCTTTCTTGACACAGACATTGGGTCTTTATTTTTTTAATCAGGGAACAAAGTTGTTTTGACCAAGAAATATTCAGATCATTTTTCAAGTGAGCAAAACAGCCTTTTCCGAAACTAGATTCTTTTGTTTATGGACAAAGTGATCACAAGAAACGAAACATGCTTAATGCCATTCATGCCTTAACACTTAGAGGAACACTATACCTGTGCTAGAAAATAAAGAAAGAAAGTAAAGGAAGAAAAAAACTAATTGATTTTTGTGGCTGGCCATGTCAGAGACCTATTTAATACTTATTATGCAAGAGACATTTAAAAGGCTGAAGACAAAAGAGAATTAAATGTTCAGAAGACCAGCCAGTTTTAAAAGGCAGTGCAGTTTACCTGAATTTATCTTCCCTATGACTAGTGCTCCCAGGAAAAAAAAGAAGATGTTTTAACAATCATAATTTGGGTCGGTTTCGTACACCACAGGAAACTCTATGGGGTTGTTAATGCAATACTTCAAATAATCACCTAACTACAAACATGTTGCTAATATTATGAATAATTTAACTGAAAAAAATAGATAAGTTTCAAATTAGCGCTATGCTTTTTTAGATATGTCATGCATGCAAAGCACCAAGAATGTAACACACACTGTTAAAACATAGCAAATACCATAATTCTTACCATATTGTAATCGCGACTCACTTCTGCCATATCTGTACTGGTGTTAAGTATATCCATAACCTGAAATGAGACAGAATTCCAGCCTATTATTGCTCTCCTGTTTTTTTTTTTTAATTAAAAAAAAAAAAAATCAATAAATAAACCAGGCATAGCATTCATGAAAACACAGAAACTTTCAGTTATTCCAAACAGAAAAAACGTGATCTGGGAATCTGAACAGATTACATGCCTTTTTCAAAACTAATCATCATTATATGTAGCTGTTCTAAACCCTGAAATATTTCACACCAATTTCTTAAATCTATAGACAGCCATTTCTCCTATGTACAGTACACTTCCCTTTTTTTTATGTTTTCCTTAGGTTCCATCTCATTCCTTTCCAATAACCAAATAAATGTAGCATTAACCAGTACATTTTTATTGAGAAATGTCAATAAAAAAGATGCTGAAGTAAAGCAAAAGCAGAACAAAGTAAATGAGAGAATAAATTAGAGAAGGAAAAGCACTTAGTATCAAAATTTGACATCAGCATACCATGTTGAAGTCTGCTAGTTGACCTTGAAATTCCTTGATTTCACTAGCTAATGCCTCTGCCCTAAATACAAAAGAAAAAGTCAAACTTAAGGTGGGAAGATTTGTATACGTAAAAACAAAAAAAAATGAAAAAAATAATTATTTAATGGTTCCTTGAAGCCTGCCCAATATTCAAGAATAGTCTTGTGTCTGAGAAAGTCAGCACTGCATTAGTTGCAATACATCTTACCGTTTTTCGTATGACAAATAGACAGATTTCTCTTGCTTGTACATTTCTACTTCTTCCTGCAGCTTGTTAATTTCTGTTGTGAGTTCATTTGTTTTGCTTCTGAAAAAAAAAACAACAAAAAAATCATTAACATTTGGATGTACGACTAAAACACAGCTAGAAAATAAATTTTACTACAGGAGATTTACAATTAGTATCTCACTGCATTGCACTCTTTCTAATCAGCATTTCAAAGAAGAGCTAAATAAGTGAGGAAAAAAGCAAAGTGGTTGTATCAGACAAAGTCATAAGAAGTTGCTATAAAACTTTGATGTCAAATAAAATATTTTAATCAGCTTTTTGTTCCTGCTGGTGAAACAGGTGTGAATTATTCTTAAATGGACAGAAAACAGGATAACTTCACAGAATGTGAATATCATTCACATTTAAAATGACATCTTTTAGGACTGGTTATTCAAACCTGCATTATGATCAACTGAAAAAGATCCATACACAAGAGTTTCCACCAGGTCTTGCCATTGTCATTGTTAGCTCAATGTATAATCCAAGTAATGTACACTAAAAAGTGTTTTGTTTGCAATGCTACATACAAATGGAGCTATGGGACCTATCAAGCACTACAGGTGGAAGCTCAAAGTCACCGACCCTCCTCTTACTAATGCTGTGGGATTCCATTTAACTTAGCAAGCCTAACAACAGATCGTTAAAGGAATCTACTTGTACTTGGACATAAGCATGAAGTTCCTTTCTTCCTACAAACTATATGTAAAATAACCTTAACTGTTATAGCAGGACTCATGTAACAGTTCAGTAAGTGAACACCACTTGTCCCAAGCTATTGTTAAGCTTAAACTCTGGGTCTGAAAGAGAACAGGGCACTAAATCTGCTGTAGTTTGAATGTATTGTAAACACGTACCTCAGCACCCCAAGGTAATAAGTTTTATCCATTATCTGTCTCTGGGGACCTGGTAAAGGAGAGCAATATGTTATCTTGTTAGAAAAAACCCAATTTTGATGAACTGTAAATTATGAAAACAATTTGAAAAATTCACTGGCAGAAAACTGTTATATTTTAGTGTTCTTAAACAGATATCTCATTAAAAAAAAGAAGGCATTTTTAGACTGTTGTGAAGAAAAACATTACTATTACAATATAACAGAATATTTTAATTATTCTGCAGTGATGATGAAGATGCAATTAATTTTGTTCTATTGTTTTGAATGATTCTTAAACACAGCTCAGGTACAGAAAAGCCTTTGTCTTCTCTGACTGCTAAGAGCAATGACAATAAAAGGCACGATTTAACCTTCATTTTCTTTCTTATACTCTTTTTAATCACAGCTATTCACTCTGGAATTTATACAGCAATGAAAAGTTTTCCTTTAAACACCTAAATATTCCTTTAAAACACCTGCAGATATCTCAACAACTATTTTCCATACAAAATACCTTTCATCGCAGTTTTTATTCCACTTAATCCTTGTTGAGTCACTGGACGGTCTGCAACTTTAATCTGAGATGATAAAACTCCTCCAGCAGTCAAAGAACCACCACGAGAACCAGGTCTTGCCGTACTAGGAGGCATCTATAAAAAAAAAGCCAAACGACAAACCTCCTAATTATTACCTAATGCAATTGCCAAAGCAATCAAAAAACATCAGTCAGCCTCTATACTCATTGTATAAGAATCTTTTAGCATTTACATCTCTTCAGGAAAACAAAGCTTTAGTCAAATCCCTGCCGTAGAAGGGTAAGGGATTACCTTTGAGCAGCTGTTCATTGTTCCATCTGTCTGCAACACTAATGCTATTAAGGTCTCCCACGTGAACTTTTGATGCTGGACCTCCTTAACCCCTTTCAGTCAAAAGTAGAACCGAAAACTTTCTACAAAATTGAAATCTAAAAGTTCGTAATAAAAAACCTAAAAAACAAAACCAACTCCAGTGATAGTACTGAGGAAAAAAAAAAAAAGAAGAAGAAAAAAAGGATAAAAATCTAAATATATCAAAGTTAATAATAAATGTTTTGAACATACCGCTGTTCCTATTCTGGCAGCTGATGGAGTCCGTGATGAAGAGGCAGGCCTGGAGGTCAGCCCTATTCCTGCTCTTGAGGAAGAACGAGCTATTGGAGGTCTGTGGCTGCTGGCCATTTTCTGTCTGTTTTTCAACTTCTCTCTGGAAAGAAGAGAAACAGTCCTTTGATTTGCACGGGGTCCTTAATACTGTCGGAGACCAACTCTTTAAAGCTTAACTCTTTCCCTTATTAAAATAAGCTTAGGGGGTTATTTTATTTTTATTTGGCTTTTTTGGACCCTCAGAGCAGTTCCTGACCGGTCGGTACGAGGCAGCGACAGGGCTCAGGAAAGACCACGCAAGGTCCGCGAGTAAGGTGAGGCACTAGCCCCTTTTCAGTGCTCAATCAGCTCTCGGGTTACTCGTGTGGCATTTATTGCTTCAGCACCTGCCCACAGAACGCAAGTTTTTCACGGAACAAAGTAGAAGCGAGCCGCTGTTGCAAATAACCACTTGAGTTATCTGGTCCGTAACCCGCCGCCAGTCACCAAGGCGACCGCGCTACCCCCGATGGATTAAATACGTTATATTCCGTATACAATCCCGATTTCTATCACCCGGAGCCGCTCGCCGCCCGGCCGGCCCCGGCCCCGGCCCGGCCCGCCCGGCCCCGGCCCCGGCCCCGGCGCCCGGCCCCGGCCCCGGCCCGGCCCCGGCCCCGGCCCTCACCGCGCCGCGGTATCGCGGCAACGGCGCGCGGCTCCTATCGGCGAGGGGCGCAAATCCCGCTCCACCCGCTGCAGCCCGCGGGACTACAACTCCCAGGAGGCATCGCGAGAGAGGCGCCGGTGCCTGCCGGGACATGGAGTCCCGGGGAGCCCAAGAGGCGCGCCCGTGACGGCTCTTCCGGCGCGGGTTCCGGCGCGCGGGCCGTGCTGGTGTCAGACGGGCGCTGCCGCCATGGCGGGCGAGGGAGGCGCGTTCCGGCTGCGCTGATCCTCCTGGGCACGGCCAGGACGTTGCGGGGCCTCACCCGCGGCCTCTTCCCAGCAGGGCGGTTCGTGTCCGTCTCGCGGGAACCGGCGGCGCGGCTCTTGGGCCCCGGACGGGTGAGTGTGGGGGCAGCGGCGCTGGCGGGCCCGCTCCGGCCGGCCCTGCGCGGAGGAGGGCGCGGAGGTGGCGGCCGCCGGGGAGCCGCCCGAGCCCCCCCGGGGTGGTTTCCGCGGCCGTGACCCCCTCAGGGGCTGGCGGCTGAACCGACGGGGCCGGGGAAGGCGGCGGGCGGAGGGACCCTGTTCTGGAGGCGCCCGAGAGTGGCATTGTCGCTTGCATGGATGAGAAGGGGTTGGAAGGGACCTTAAAGGTCATCTGGTCCCATTCTCCCTGCCATGCGCAGGGACACCTTTCACTAGACCAGGTTGCTCAAAGCCCTGTCTAGCCTGGCCTTGAACTTCCAGGGATGGGTCATCCACAACTTCCGTGGGCACCCTGTTCCAGTGCCTCACCACCCTCAGAGTAAAGAATTCCTTCTGTATCTCTAACCTAAATTTCCCCTCTTTCAATCTGTACCTATTACTCCTTTTTCTGTCACTACAGTTCCTGATGAACAGTCCCTCTCTGGCTTCCCTGTAGGCCCCTTCAGACACTGGAAGGTTGCTGTCAAGTCTCCACACAACCTTCTCTTCTCCAGACTGAACAGCACCAACTTTTGCATGCCTGCTGTGAGGGAGGTTTTATGTGTTTAAGCAGTTAGCTGTAGGTCAGTGTTCCAGCTTGCTTTGCAGATGATAACAATGCCAGTAAATCTGGGCATCTTTTTTCTGGGTGGTGTCAATAATGTTGTTTCCACCTCATGGTATTCAATGCCAAAGTATTCCTGCTAAGTTTTGCCAGTAAGGCAGTATGCTTTGAATGTTTTAAAAACCCCCGTCTTTTCTTGTCCTTGCTGAGCAAACTTCTTTGGACATAATGTGAAATATGAACAAAAAACTGCACAGAAAGTTTGAATACACAAGGGCATTGAAAAACGAAAAACACATTAGGTTTTTTGATATTCGTGTTGCATGGGGTTGTCTCCTACTGAATTTGTTGTGTTGAATTCATAAAGTGAATTTTTCAAGATATCACTGTGACCAGAAGCAGAGCTGCTAAGCAATGTGCTTTGCAGAGAGTGGAGATGCAGGCTATTGCTGGAAGACACAGGATGTACCTCCTCTTCTGACTATAGTTTCAAATTGTGAACTGCATTCTGAAGCTGCTAGGCAGCTTCACTGCCTTCCAGTAAAACAGATGATTGGCAAATTTGCTGAAAGCTTACATGTGTCATTATACTGAGCTCTGCAACTGAGGAGAAGGAAGACTAATCTCATTAAGTGTGTCTTGTTAAATCTCTCATCACAAAGGAAAGAAGTTGTTAAATTGCACAGAAATTTGCAGCAGAAAAGGAAGTCTAATTTTACCCCATAATTTTTGAGGACCCTGTGAGGAAGACATGAGTAACTTATGTGGAGTCATAGTGTTGGTAATGATTATCTTTCTCTGCCCTGAAGACCTGGGGATTACAGTAGCCAGGGTTCAGTGGGTAAGCACACTGCTGTATAGTGGTTTTATTGTTTAGATTTGCCAGGAAGATGTGTTGCCTTCACTTGCTCACTGTACCTTCAGCAGATATTTTAGAATTTAAAAGAATGTAATGATTTCCTTACATATATCAAGCTTTCCAAGCATTAGACTATGGAGGATGACAGTGTGATGTGTTATGTTTTTTGAGAGTGGGGGAACAAACACAGAAGAGAAAAAAGAAAAACCAAAACAAACCAAGCACACAACACCACAACCTGTACTGGGAATAAGTAGCTTCTTCCAGTTATTCTATAACTATTGAATTTCACTCAGGGTGAAGAAATGAGGGTGCTGCTTAAATCAGTTATGATCTATTTAACTATTAAACCTCTACAGTGCTCCTCATGAAGAGCCATGGCAAGCAGTAGACTTTCTTCATTTGTGTGCTCTGTTATTTTAGCTTGTATTGGGATACATATTTGAGTCTTAAGACAGCGAAAGATTTCGTAAAGGTAAACTGTTACTGTTTCTGATCACATTTGGCATAATGTTTGCAAGGAAAATGAAAACTTAAGTCTTTTCAGGCCTACCACTGCAGAAAAAGAAGTTTAGAGCTTTAAGTATTGACTACTGGGTAGGAATGCTGGGATATAGTATTTCTCTTAGGTTTTTCATTCCTTTTGGGTCATCCATAGTATTTATTTAGCACAATGCAAGCATAGTTATTAATTCAAGACTTGAAAGTACTGTTTTTGTCATGACTCTGAATTGATTGTCTCGTATGTTTAGTCTTAACAGGGGTTTTACTGAAATGCACTGTATGAGTGGCCACTCAAATTTTGTATCTTGCGTGTGCATCATACCTCCAAGTGACCTCTATCCTCGTGGACTGATTGCAACTGGTGGCAATGATCATAATATTTGCATTTTTACAGTTGACAGCACAGCTCCTCTTTACATCCTTAAGGGTCATAAAAACACAGGTATGTAGTAATTTTATTTTGGAGGTTTTTTGCATGAAAGTTAACATGATTTATTAGAGAGGAAATTAAGTTGAATTTATAAAACTCAGTTTTGATTTATTTGGTACATAATGTAGCAAACAATTATGGCCTCTGCAAACAGGATTTTATAATTTTAATTCATGCTGTGACCATTCATGGCAAGGACTTCCACGTTTATCTTGATGAATGTTTGGACTTTTACTGCATATGTGAACTCATGACAATTTACAGAATTGTTACCCTTTTGCCAAGGGCTGCATTTTTAAGAAGCAGTTGTTTCTTCATGTACTAAACTTAATTTTTATGTCAAAGCTGATTGGAGCAGAGAAAGTCAGCTTCCTAAATAAACTTTCTCTGCCCATTTTGTTGCATAGATAAGGATATAACATTAATTGGTGCTTTAAATATGTAGTTTTATACTGGATTACTGGAGCATTTTCAGATTATCTTTTTACTGAATCTTTAAATGTCATCACAGCTTCTTGGTGGTAGTAGTTTGCCTTCCAAGCAAACGACTTTTTTTTTTTTTTTTTTAACAAAATCTTGCTTCTTGAGGACACAAATTAACACCTGTTGCAAAAAACTTGGTTTTCTGTGACATCTTAAAAACTAAACCTTTGCATTAATTCTGTATCTTGACTGGTTATCTAACCTGCTTGTCATCGTATTCTGATCTGAGGAGAAGAGGTCTGGTACTAAAAGAAATTTAAAAATATGAGTGGCAAAAATATTTCCGATTTTGTAGCCTAAAGCTGAGAGATTTTGAAGCAACTTCTTTCTAGGTTGCAGTGCAATTATAGTTCCCCAGCCTCCTCAATACTAACTATGCTATTGATACCAAGTAAATCTCCTCAAGTTAATCTCTTTAAGTTACTGGATGAGATTTGTGGCAGTGCAGGACACTTGTCAGTTCTGACTTGAATATTTTTTCCAGTTTGCAGCCTTTCATCGGGGAAATTTGGCACATTATTAAGTGGATCATGGGACACAACAGCCAAGGTGTGGTTGAATGACAGATGTATGATGACGTTACAGGTATGAAGTTCCTCTACATGAATATAAAATGAGTACTCTGAATTTGATTCTGACAGTCTGACAAGTCTAACAATGTCGAGTTTTTTGCAGGGTCACACAGCTGCAATATGGGCAGTGAAAATACTTCCTGAACAGGGATTAATGTTGACTGGTTCAGCTGACAAAACTATAAAACTGTGGAAGGCAGGCAGATGTGAAAGAACATTCACTGGTAAATGTTGCTGTAGTTGATAATTTCACTAGGGTAATGTATTCTTTTAAAAGGGAAAAAACCAAAACATTAAAACCTTACCAAACCATGGATAAATTGAACAATACTTGGGCAGGATTTTTAAAGTCTCTGAAGTTGTATGCTCAGAAGTCACATGATTTTTAAAAGACTAAGATTTTTACAAGAATTGTGAGCAATTTTTTTTTTTAACTTCTCCCATAATGAAGATTTGTTGCCTGGATTTAGATGTGAGCTAAATAGAAATGGTGTACTGCTGCTAACAGAGAGGAAAAACTGCATTAAATTTTTCCTTTCTTTTATAAAGGACATGAAGATTGTGTGAGAGGTTTAGCTATTCTCAGTGAAACAGAATTCCTTTCCTGTGCTAATGATGCTAGTGTTCGAAGATGGCATATATCTGGAGAATGTCTGCAGGTGTACTATGGACACACAAATTACATATACAGCATCTCTGTTTTCCCTCAATGTAAAGGTAGGGTTACTTTTGTGACTATTACCCAATATGAAATGCAGTGACAGCGTGGGTGTTCTGGTGTTGAACTCAGGTAGTGTTTAATTTAATTTACTTCTTGCATCTAGTGTAAATAGATTTTAAAAAGTGCTGTGATTGACTCCAAATCACACCTGTGTCAGAGTTGCTCTGGCAGTATGTGGGATAAAAGGTCCTGGGTTAGGGCTAATTGAAGCCTTAAGTGAAACTTGGGTGAAGCAGTAGGCAAGACTGTTGTCTAAATTGCCACCCGTGTTTCAGCACTGTTGCAGAGGAGTAAAGTAGTAATGTGTGGTTTACCAGTTTGACATAATATAAATTTACATAATCCCACAGTGTGCATTATAAATAGTTTAGGTTGAGAATTTTATGTATGAGGCTAAATTACACTTGTTTTCAGAAATAGAGGTTTAGAGGTTTAGAACTAACTGTTGCAGACAGTTGCAGAAGAAATTCCAAGTCAGTGACCTTTATGTGGTGTATGGGACACTTGTGCATTTGTTCAACAGGTAAAGTGCATGTATATAAGTAGATGTGTATATTGTAAACTTCCTATGCCTTAGAATTCCTCACTGAGGAGTTGTAGACGTTTGAGAGTGCTTTATGCATGTTTTTTTAAAAAGCAGGCTTACCATCCAAAACTCAATTTAAAACAAATGTGAAACTGTGCGAGTTGAGGGCAAGATGAAACAGTGATGATTACCAAATTGTTTCACTCTTGAAAGGAGGAAGGGATCATTGTTTGTCTTGGGCATAATTGCATTCCCTGCCTGGGTGTGTAGTTTGCAATTTATGCACTTGACAAGACAGATTAGAAGTGGCTTTCCTTTTACTCTCTTCTTACAATTGAGAGAAGTAATAAATTGTAGAAAGGTTCTTTTACTGTTCTCATTTTTAGATACCCAGTTGCACAATGGCATCTAGTATCACAGGATGCTAAAAATATACTTTAGAAGTTTTTATATTTTTTTTATTTTCAGATTTTGTGACTACTGGAGAGGATAGATCTCTCAGAATCTGGAAACAAGGGGAATGTGCTCAAACAATCAGACTCCCAGCTCAGTCTGTGTGGTGCTGCTGTGTGTTAGACAATGGTGACATCGTAGTTGGTGCAAGGTATCCAGATTTTATTCTCAATATATTTGTAGATCCAAATCTGCAAGTCCTTGATGAAATTGAAAACATCACTTGGAGTATCAGTTTCATTTCTGTTTAAAAATGCAGCCATCAAAATGTGCACGTGTGTGTTAAGTTTAAACATGTGCTATACTTCATCCAAAATGTAATTTTGTATGACTTAGAGAGGTAGAGTGAATTCTTTGGAGATGTGGTAAACCATGAATAGACAGAGAATAAACGTATAAATACTGTGTAAAGAATGTTTTTGATAAGCATATCATATCTTGATTTTAAAATTATATTAAAGACAGGGTTAGCTGCTTGATTACTTCTCTGGGTGGTTTTAGCATGACAGTGAATTCCTTCCATAGGAATAATTGAGAGGAGTAATTAAAAGCAGTGATGGTCTCTTTTGATGTAGAAGTCACCATTAGAATTTATGTAATCATTGTGATATTTAAAATCCTATTTCTGTTTGAATGTTTTCTCTCCATTCAGTGATGGAATTATAAGAGTGTTTACAGAGTCTTTGGAACGTACAGCAAGTGCTGAGGAGATTCAGGCTTTTGAAAATGAGCTTTCCCAAGCATCCATTGACCCTAAAACTGGGGATTTAGGAGATATTAATGCTGATGACCTTCCTGGAAGAGAACATCTTAAGGATCGTGGTAAGTTAGTGTACTTCTGTGATTTTAGAGATGCCTCCAAATCTGGAGGTATTGGAACTTTTAATAGTTTCCAAAATTAAGGCTTTAATCACTTTCAGTAGGGTTGCTGAAGGAAACAGCTTAATTTTGCTCTTCTAATTCCACTGATTCTTTTGGAGGCAAGACTCTAGATTTTTTTGTTTGTTTGTTTGTTGGGGTTTTTTTTGGTAGACTAGAATGGTAAAAAAATATTTATCTTATGGGATAATTTAGAAAAAGATAGAATTCAGGATGCTGCAATGTGTTCAAGATGTTTTGGATCTGTTCCACCAGCCATACCAACGGTATATGAGTCAGGTATTTTGCAAAGGGACTATTGAATGTGGAATTTTTTTTTTCTCTAAAATAAGCATTAGGTGCAAATTTTCTGCTTTAGCTTTTGGCTTGAAAGATAGTTTTTGTTAACTCGGTTCACACTTCCTAGGTACTCAGGAGATTCCTGAGAATGCAGTAGAAGCAGCAGTAAACATTACTCTAAAATAGACAAATACTTTTTCCGAAGGTGAAGTAAACAGTGATTTCAACCCTTGGCTCTGATCAGCAAGTGGAAATCTTACAACCATATGGAACTTTGCATCTAGTTAAGACCATGGGAGAGTATCACCTTTCTTGGTTGTCATCTCCCTGGGGAAATGATAAACTTTTGAAATACTTGACCTAAGTAAGGGTTGGTTTTGCAAGTTAGTCTGGTGGCAGATACCGTTACCATAACTGTAAATGCTGTTGTCAAGATAGCTGCTGTTCTTGCTGTGACGTGTAGTTTTGTGCTGGTTTTGGCTGGGATAGAGTTAATTATCTCCAATAGGAGCTAGTGTGGGGCTGCGTTTTGGATTTGTGCTGGAAATGGTGTAGATAACACAGGGATGTTTTCATTTCTGCTGAGCAGGGCTTACACAGAGCCAAGGCCTTTGCTGCTCCTCACCCCACCCCACCAGCAAGGGAGTGCACAAGGAGCTTGGAGGGGTCACAGCCAGGACAGCTGAGCCCAGATGACCGAAGAGATATCCCATACCACATGGCATCATGCTCGGGATATAGACTAGGGGGAAGAAGGAAGGGGGGGATTTTGGTGATAACATTTTTCTTCCCAAGTAACCGTTAAGCATGATGGGAGCCCTGGAGACAGCTGAACACCTGGCTGCCCATGGGAAGTGGTGAATGAATTCCTTGTTTTGCCTTGCTTGTGCATGTGGCTTTTGCTTTACCTATTAAACTGTATCTCAACCCACATATTTTTTTCATTTCTACTCTTCCAATTCTCTTCTGCATCCCAGCCAGGAGGAGAGTGAGCGAGGGGCTGAGTGGTGCTTAGTTGCCGTCTGGGGTTAAACCATGACATGTATCTACTTACTTCCTGTGCTGTGACGTTACATGTTATTGAACTGTTTTTTTCATTTTTAATGCTAAGCACTATTCAAAGACTTTCCTAAAGTAAATTGTATTCTTGAAATTGTTCAAACTCTTATACTCTGTCTACAGGAACAAGAGATGGACAGACACGGCTTATTAAAGATAATGGTAAAGTAGAAGCATATCAATGGAGTGTTAGTGAAGGAAGATGGATAAAGATTGGTGATGTTGTTGGTTCTGCCGGAGCCACACAACAGACGTCTGGAAAAGTTTTATTTGAAGGAAAGGTATATGCAAACTTTAGTTTTATTCCTTCCTAAGTAAAATACTGAATTTCCCATTAAAATCTATTCCGGTCTTTGTTCAGATAAAATATAATGTAGAAAATAGGTATTTGTTTTGTACTTTCTTGTCATCCTTGATCTCAGAGGTAGAAGTATAAGTACTACTTGCTTCATTACTTCTGAAACACATTTTGTAAAATGAGTAAGCCAACGAAGACAAATTATTTTGGAGAAACTAGTAATAGAGAAATGATCAAGTTCTGTGGGGTGAAGCCCCACAGAAGCCTCTGAAGCTTGAGGGGTTTGAAATATTACAAAGTGTTAGGCTGTTTTCCATGAGAACAGTAAAGCTAATTAGATAGTTCCCATGGACACAGCCTTGAGTTATAAAGAGTACAAGGTTAAAGCTGTTTGGCTGAGTGCAGGTGCTGCATGCCTAAGTGTTTTTCCAAGAATATGTTTATATTATATGTGTGAGAAAGTAGAAGCGGGCGAGCTCTCTGTCTCATCACCTTGTTGTGTGTCATGTGTGTTCTTTTCTTCTTGGACCAAGACCTATTGACATTTTACCCCACGACAAAGTTCTATTTTATTTATTGTTAATAACTTGAGAAGTTAATTTCCTTTCCAAAGGAAGCGAACCATATGACTTAAAATGCAAGGCTTACCTAAAATATTAGGTACTGGGCCTTCTGTATACCTTCTCTGTAGTAACCAAAGAACTTAAAGATAGCTGGAAAATGTTTCCTTTACTGAAATATACACAGAAAAGTCTGTCTGGGGCAGAAAAAATGCCTCAGAGATACAAATTTTCTCACTCACATGTTTTGAAAGTTAGAATGTTAGAAAATTGTAGGTTTTTAGTATTAGAAGTGTGCTTTTAAGACTGAAGTTTTTTGAGGCATCTGACTTCCCTGTAGCTTTTCAGGCAGCCAGAGCTGTCCATGAGAATTATGTGGTGCATCTGTTATTTTGTAACATATCTACACAAACGTTATCATGATATGTTGTTTTACTCAGTGTTCTGTTCTTGAGACAGAGAAGTCTGGAAACTACAGGTTTAAGTTTCTCATGATTTTGGCTGAGATAGAGTTCATATTCTTTTTAGCATCTGGTACAATGCTGTGTGTTTTGGATTTAGAGTAGCAACATTCCTGATAACATACTGATGTTCTGGCTGGTGCTAAGTAGTGTTTACCCGGAGTCAGCAAATGTTTACTTGCAATCTCTGTAGGAGAGTATTATTGATACATTCTGCAGTATCACTGCTATTGATACATCACAGTGTTACAGTTTTTAGGCTTATTCCTAGGCTGTTTTTAGTCTACATTTGATACATCTTTTTGTAAAGAATGCTGTCAAACTTGTAATTTGCTTTTGTTTTTATTCCGCTTAAAGGAGTATGACTATGTTTTCACTATTGATGTAAATGAAAGTGGGCCTTCCTACAAACTGCCATATAACATCACTGATGATCCTTGGCTGAGTGCATACAACTTCCTGCAAAAGAATGATCTAAATCCTATGTTTCTGGATCAGGTGGCGAAGTTTATTATGGACAACACTAAGGGGCAAACACTGTTAAGTTCAAGTGCTCAATTTTCAGATCCATTTACAGGTAAAAATTTTAAACTTAAATGATGACATCAGTCACTCCTCCAGTTTTGTGTCTTCAGCAAACTTGCTGAGAGTGTACTCTGACCTTCCTGATCATTAATGAGGATGTGGAACAGGAGTGGATGCAGTACTGACCCCAGGTAGTGGCTGGCTTCCAACTAGATGTTCTGCCACTGATCACCACCCTCTGGGCCTGATTGTTCAGTCAGTTTTAAATCACCTCACTGTCACAGAATCAGAGAATTGTCAAGGTTGGAAAAGACCTCTAAGGATATTGAGTCCAACCATTAACTTAGCACTTCTGTGTTCACCACTACACCATATCCCGAAGTGCCATATCCACATGTTTCTTGGATCCTTCCAGGTTGATGATTCTACCACTTTCCTGAACAGTCTATTCTAGTGCCTGACAACCCTTGCAGTAGAAAACTTTTACTTATATCTAATCTAAACCTCCCCTGGTGCAACTTGAGACCATTTCCTCTCATCACTTGTTACCTGGAAAAACAGACCAACCTCCACCTTTCTACAACCTCCTTTCAGGTGGTCGTAGAGAGCAATGTGGTCCACCCTGAGCCTCCTTGTCTCAGGGTTAAACACCCTCAGCTCTCTAAGTCCCTCCTTATAGGACATGCGCTCCAGACCCTTCACCAGCTTCATTGCCTTTCTCTGGACTCGCTCCAGTCTGGCTTTTGATTTGGTTGTGTCCAAGTATATAGCATGTATGTGCCAGAAAACAAACTTCTGACTCTCAGTTAGTATGGAAGAATTTGTTTGCATCAGGGGATAGGACCAGATTTCCTATAATGCCACAATAAACAATAAGACATATATGATGTTTGGCTTTATTTCTGAGCTGCTTCTGGTTGAAAAGTACTGACATTTGAATAACATCAAGCTGTGTTTAATAGTCACTGGTTTTCTTGCTGTTTCACTAGGTGCTGGACGTTATGTTCCAGGCTCTTCATCTGGATCGAATACAATACCTGGGGCAGATCCATTTACAGGTAATGTAAAATTTGTAATTTGTCTGGCTAGCATGTAAGATGCGTATTTTAATCGTGTTCAGTTGTATTCCATGTTCGGCTCCAGATGGCTGTTTCTTGCAGCTCTCTGGGGCAGTAGTGTGGGACTGCCTGGTAAGGTGGGCTCTGCCACTGTCAAAGCATATGGAGATCTGTTCAATAGCAGAGAGCCCTCTGCTGTCTGTTCTGCCTCATGTCACTCTGCTCTCTAAAGCAGAAGGGTAAGGACATAAAACTTTTGTTTTGCAAAAATCCATACGCAAGGACAACACAGAAATGGGGATGTTCATAAAGGTAGTTCTCTATTTTCATTGTCACTCATTTTTTCTTATTACATGATTTTTATAAGTACCATGCACCCTAGATCCTTACTGGGATAGCTATTGTAAAAAGCTTTTGATAGCTTTTTACAAACAAACTTTGTTTGTTTGCAGAGACATCCCCAGTTGCAGCCCTGCTTTTTCAGACTTACCCCATCTGCGATAAGTAGCTCTTGCTCCTTGAAGGTCCTGTAGTCAATAAATGCCAAAGCTCTGCCAGTAAAACCAGCCATGCACTGAGCTGCTGACCTACGTGATGAGTCCGTTTCTATTCAAGCAATTTTGCTTTCTTGAGAGCATCAAAGAAACCACCACCTGGGCCCTTCACCCTGGCTCCCAGGGCTCTCTAATCACCCTTGATACTAATCAGGACTTCCTCGGCAATACCATTGATGGCTGTGTGGAAGAGTAGCAGGGTAACAATCTTGGTAATGTCTCTCTGGCATCCTGGATCCAAGCCTATCCCAAGATATCTGGAGATATACTCCTGTGTCAGTAGTGGGTGCCTCCATACCCTGCAGGAGGACACTCTGCCTCCTGTCACTGTCACTTGCCTTTCTCCTGGGGAAACACCTGCTGGGTGCTTTTCCTAACCAGTGCCAGGGCATTGCCTGTTCTGCAGTTGCAGATCTACAGGTAGAGCTGAAGCCTTCATGCCATTGCCAAAACCCACAGCCTTCAGCCTTCCCCATCCTGGCAGTCTTTCTCTGTTCCTATTCTACTTTGTTGTCCAGCGATCTCTTCTCCCATGCTTTGTGTGGCTTTGTCTGTGATCTCTGCAGGTGGAGGTCTCGCCTGAGGCCTCACTGCCAGAAAGGAGAGTCCACCTCCCACAGGAAAGGCCACTTCGGGCCCCATGCACATAGAGAGCAGGTCTGAGCAGTGGCCTCCTGCTGGAGCTTGTCATGGATAAGTACCTGCCGTGCTGAGGGCCTTTGCTCCTCTGGGTGCCAGAGACCATGCCAGTGGTCTCCCATTTGTGTCTCACTTAGCTAGTGAATGCTATCATCACCAACACCCTCACACATAGGCATAGATTTAATCCTTAAAGAAGTGTTGAAGATTTCTTTATAATTCCTTTAGTGCAAGATAATCCCTTTAATGGTGATTTTTGAAAACTAGTGACTAAATACAGGTATATATTACCTATGTACCAGTGGTGGTGGTTAAAAAACTTAACATCTTTGTTTAGGTGCTGGTCGCTATGTTCCTGGTTCAGCATCAAATGCAGGAGCTGCAGTGGGCGGAGTTGATCCATTTACAGGTAAGACATGATTTCTGCCAATGAAAAACATTCCTGATCTTTTGTTTTGTTTTTTCTTCTGACATGAATTCTGCATTGATGCAAATTGGTATTTTATTAAAAATAATGAGCAGACTGAAGCTGCTTATACTCTGGAAATTATTCAGCAAATATGGATAACAGAGCCTTGCTTTACATGCAGGAATTAGGTACACAAGCTCTTTATCAAAACATGGTCAAGGCCGAAATACTCCTTTTTGATTCTAACTTAACTGAATGCAGGTGCATCTGACTCAGCTTGTTTCCACACCCATTCCTATGAATGGCTGTGGGAATTATGATTCGCGTAATTAAGAAATCACTGTTAATAATTTAAACTTGTAAGTTTTTACATGAGGGGAGGACAGTTTGTGATTGCTTTAAATTTTAAACCTTGAATTTAAAAATAATGTAAGGAAAGACAGCTATTTGCATAAATGTTCATTTTTTTTCCCCAGAAGATACTTTTCTGAGTGACATTCAGCAGCAGAGAATTACTTCTAGGATATTGTTCTCTGTTAGACACTTTGGTGTGCTGTTGAACATTCTGTATTGCATTTCTGTAGGAATGGGTGCCTACCAGTCAGCTGCAGCTAAAGCTGAAAATATTTATTTTCCGAAGAAGGATGCTGTCACCTTTGATCAGGCCAATCCTACGCAGATACTGGGTCAGTGTTTTATTATCAAGGATGACTTTTTTCATTTGTTTGAAGTAACTTGACATTTGAACTTTTAACAAACCTAAGCGATTTCCCATGGCTTTCTTAATGTTTCTTGGTTTTTACCTTTTAAAATTGCATTCATCATTTTGTTGGTGCATGTATTTGAAGGCTTAGAAGTATGAGTACTTCACAGGAACTTTTACCTAACACAGAATGTCCTTTCTTTCCTTTCCATTGCCTTGTATTCTTGTTTCCATAGAATCTCTACCTTTTTTGTCACCAGTTTGTTTCTGTATATTTCTGTAAGGGTTTTGTAAAATTATTTGTACTCACAGTGTATCTGCCTTTAAGATATTAAAACTCAATTCTTTATCTCCCTTTTATACACAGACCTTGAAAATGTTTACCTGTCTAGCCAGTATGATGAGGAAACTTAGGAACAAGAGACTCTAGTTTTTAGAAAAAGTATACGTTCACCTTTATCCAACATCTTGAAGAGGGCAAGCTCCTGACTTTACAGCCATGGAATCATAGAATGGTTTGGTTTGGAAGGGACCTTTTAAAGATTATCTAGTCCAGTCTCCCTGCCAAGGGCAGAGACACCTTTGACTAGACCAGGTTACTCAAAGCTCCATTCAGCGTGATCTCAAGCACTTCTAGGAATGGGACATTGACATTTTCTCTGGGCAAGTTGTTCTGATGTATCTTTCAGTTCAAAAGCATTAACCCTTGTCTTATCACTACAGGCCCCGATGAAAGGTCTCCTTCTACCTCATAAGCCTCCTTTAAGAATTGAAAGGCTGCAGTAGGGTCTCCCCGGAGCCTTCTCTTCTCCAGGCTGAAAAACCCCAACTCTCAGCCTTTCCTTGTAGTAGAGGTCTTCAACCCCTGTGGTTGCCTTTTTTGTCCCTTCTCTGGACCCACTCCAAGAGATCCATGTCTTTCTTGTGCTGAGGACCCCATAGGTGGATGCAGCATTACAGGTGGAGTCTCACAGGCAGCAGAGTAGAGGGGCAGAATCACCTCTGTTGCTGTGGTAGCCACGCTGCTTTTTATGCAGCCCAGGATGCAGTTGGCTTTCTGGGCTGTGAGCACCTATTGCTGGCTTGTGTCCAACTTACTAATTAACCACTACCCTCAAGTCTTTTTTTCACTGCTGCTCTCAATCCTTTTTAGCCCAGTCTGTATTCATGTCTGGGATTACCCTGAAACAGGTGCAGGACCCGGCATTTGGCCTTGTTGAATTTCATCAGGCTCACATGGGTCCACTACTCAAGCCTGTCAGATCTCTCTGGAGCCTTCTATCTGTGGTATTGCTCTTTTACATGTTGTTCAAGTTTTATTTTCTGATTAAAAAAAATGTCAGAATCTTCAATTAGCCTTATCCTGTTGTGCTGAATTTTGTTGCACTCTGTTATTTGTTCAAGGAGAAGTTAAGGGATTTACAAACTAGATACTTTTCCTGGAGGTTTTGGCTATTAAAGAGATTTAGCCTCCTTTTGATTTTCCACAGGTTAACAGTAAAATTTTGTTCAGAACTTCCTAAGAGGGAGAACAGCAAGACTGGCTGACATTCATGTTATAGCAAAGCCAAGACTTTCACTTAGTCTTTAAAACATACTGCAGCAGTTTATTTTTATCCTGTAGTCTTGAAGGATAATGGTATTACTCACAGGCTTAGTGGGCTGTTTGTTTTTTTGAAGTTTAGAATCGGAAAACTAGGTTTACTGTGTTTTCCCCGCAGTTTTGTAACAGTGCATGGTTAAATACACTTGTAAATATTATGGCTGGACTGGGAAAGATTTAATAGATGAATGTTTGTATTGTATTTTTTTCTTTCCACGAGGGCCCATGGTTGATTTTTTTGTGCATACTATAAAACAAAAGGGTGTACTAATGTAATGTTGTCTGCTTGTGTATTTATTGACATGGCCCTCATTATGTCTGGAAGAACCATGATTGGCAGGTTCTTAACACTCAATCCATTACATTAAAATGATTTTTCCAATACTTGGATTTTTAAATCACAGTGAAGTTTGAATACAGGACATGCCATAAGCAAAATATGATCACCAAACTTAAATAAGAAAAAATACAAAACCCGTGATCACACTAAGGACATATGGTTTCTTCATTGTTTCTATGACCTAATAATAGGAAAGAACAAAAAAGAAATCATATTTGTTATGAAAGCTCTAATGGTCTTGTGTTTATTTTCTGCATTTTTCTCTTTATGTAGGCGCTTTCTGAAATTTTCAACAAATTCTGAATCTTTTTGTTGCATGGTTAGAGGAGATTTTAGTAGTAGTGATCATTGTGGTAATTGAAAATTTAAAATAGGAAATTATGAAATTGGGAAAAGTGTTCAAAAATTCATCACCCCCCCAAAAACCCCAATTACAGTAGTTGTTACTTGTTTGTAAAGTCCTTTTGTAGTGTTTCATTCAAGATCTCGATTTGTGAAGTTCTCTTATCAGAAAGCCATGCCTCTTCCTTTGGTTTTACAGGCAAATTAAAGGAACTTAATGGCACAGCAGCTGAAGAACATAAGCTTACAGAAGATGACTTGATAATCCTAGAAAAGTTATTATCTGCAACATGCAACACCTCTGCAGAAACACCTACAGCACAGCAACTTCAGACTTTATGGAGAGCAGTTAACTGGCCAGAAGGTAGACACTTGCAGTTAACTTCTTGTACTGTCATCTCATCAACACTTCACCATGAACAAAAAGTCTTATTATGCTGTTTATTACACAGAGTCTGTCTCAAAGACTTGATAGCCTCAGTAGAAAACAGATGATGAACAGGTGCTAACAACACTGACCAACAGCAGAGGCAAAACTGATAGTTGGTTATCAGGTTTCGTTGTTGTCACAGTAGTAAATGTAAATGAGAAACTTGATATAAACATCAGTCATGGTTATTTCATTAGCAGAGTCATCCTCAAAAATGTGTGAGACTTGTTTGGAAATACAGCAAGGAAGTGTGAGCTTGGGATCATATGTTTTTATCAAATGAGAGATGAAATTGTAGAGATAAATTATGTAAAAAAAAAAATCAAAAGTAGCTCTTATTTTAATGTGGTAGAAAGGGAGAAGTTACAGAACCTCTAGGCTATGTGGTCAAAACTGCATTGATGAAATGACATTCTGAATGAATGCAAGTGGAGGTGATATAATTCCATGTAGTAATGTATCATCAGCAGTGATAGATTGGAAAGGCTATTTTGGTTATTTAGGCACATTCTGGAAAGAAAGCATACATTGCATATACAAGTATCTAAAAACGTGGTGAAAATTAACTGCTTTCTTGAAGATGGAGTTCAAGATTAATTAGCTGGAAGAACATTTTAGTATTAAAAATTTATGGTCATTATATAACATCACTTAATCAAAGTATGTTTTGCATAGCTGGGAGCTATGGTAATGGCTAATGTCATACTTTCCAGACTCTCTTTCTATTGTACAAAGCATTAATTCTGAAGATTCTGCATGTCTGAAGGAAAATAGTAAGTAGTTAGGCAGGTTCAGCTTTGATTTCATTATAAGCATAGGATAGCAATAGGAGATCAAGGAGACAGATATGTTTAAAAATCAGACAAGGGGAGATACAACTGAACAAACTTTTAGTTCAGATTACTTAAAATCATTTCCAGCTGATCAGTTGAGGACCTGTTTTCTATTTTCTTTGCAAATTTTGTCTCAGAAATGAAGGTAATTAAAATATTTTTTCTCTTTTTTTTTTTTTCCTGAAAGCAGTTTTGTAGTTGTGCTGTCTATGTAGGGATGTTTAGTCAGAAGCTTTCAGAGACATTTGCCTTCAGTGTTATCAATTAAAGTTTTTGGAAAGATTTAAGATTTTCTGCAAAGCACTGTATTTATCCTAAATTAAGGGTTATGTCTTTTTTTATGATAAGTGTTAATAGAATGGATTTGTCAATATTTAACTTCATGAATTTCAAACAACTTGTGCTTTACCTGAGTCTCTGCATGAAACTGTTATTGTCTGTTCCCCAGGCTACAGGGCTAAGGGCTGTATCTGAAAGAAAACTCACTGGCACATTTGCACAAAATGCAATATTAATTCTAAAATTCTGTTCTGTTTTGTTTCTTAGATATTGTCTTTCCGGCCCTAGACATTCTTAGATTGTCTGTCAGGCATCCCACTGTGAATGAAAACTTCTGCAGTGAAAAGGAGCATGTACAATTAATCGTCCTTCTCCTTAAATTTCTGAACCCTAAAGGAAAGCAAGCAAACCAGCTGTTGGCACTTAGAGCTCTTTGCAATTGTTTTGTCAGCCATGCAGGTGAGAAGCTCATGATGGAACAGAGGGATGAAATAATGACACAAGCAATAGAAACTAAATCGGGCAATAATAAGAACATCCACATTGCGCTGGCCACACTGACATTGAACTATGCCGTATGTTTACATAAAGTCAACAATGTTGAGGGCAAAGCTCAATGTTTATCAGCCATCAGCACAGTTATGGAAGTTGTTCAAGACCTTGAAGCCGTTTTTAGACTCCTTGTGGCTCTTGGGACGCTTATCAGTGATGATACAAATGCTGTGCAATTAGCTAAGTCTCTTGGAGTTGACTCTCAAATAAAAAAGTATGCCTCTGTATCGGAACCAGCTAAAGTAAAAGAATGCTGTAGGTTTGTTCTTAATCTGCTATAATAACTTTTAGCACTTGGGAGACACAGTGTATGCAGAAAAAAGATGCTTCTATTCATATTTTATGACAGATTATACTTGAGAAAATACTGGGGATTAATTACACTTGATTTGTTGCAAAATGCAGAGCAAATAAAAATTTTTTCACTGTTTGTCATTTGACTGCTTTTCTGAAGAGTATGATGCACAGGATCTTTTCAACAAGTCCTGACACTGCTCAGATCAAAATAGATCACCAAGATCAAACCATCTCAGTACTTACAGGTCATCTAGATGGAAAGGTAGGAAATGCCTGTTATTTAGTGACTGTCAACTCTGACACCCACTCCAGCCACATTTCTTTGTTTCAGCATGATGAGTCTGTTTCTTGACTTGCTTTTTGTCAGCAGTGAAGGGGTCCTGAGAACTGTTCAGTAGTGCATTTCACAAGCTTATTAGTTAACATTGGTTAATATTAACCCTTGTCAAATAGCCTGGTAAGGAATTTTTTCATCAGCTTTTCTCCACTTCCTTTCGAAAGCTAGCTGTTTGTGGCTCTTACTGTTTTTTAACCCAGAACTAGGGGACTTCTAGAGGGGTAGAATCTCTGATTGCATATGGATGATGACCTTCACTCACAAGTTTGTATCATGCAGCTTGTAAAATAGCGTGAACTTCTACAGAAGCTTTTACCTGACTTTTTAACTTTTAAGGACAGGAATACCCCACCAATTCATAGCAAGTGTCTTACTCCAGAAAGTATGCTGTAAAATTCAAGATGATTAAAAAGAAGAGGAGCCATCTTGAAGAACGGGAGAAAAATTTAGGTGCAGAGAACAGATCGAACAGCAGAAGCTTGAAGATGCTTCCTAGACATGGCCTTGTCTGTCAGTGTTTAAGAGGCATTTGGACAATGTCCTTAACAAGATATGCCAACTTTTGGTCAGCCAAAAAGTGGTCAGGTGGTTGGACTAGATCATTACAGGTTCTTTACAACTGAAATATTCTAAACTGTATGAATATAAAGCCAAGTTTTATGCAATAGCTTTAACTTCATAACTGTGGTGACTGTGAAAAGGGAAAATAATATTTTACAGCTCATTCCAGCAGATCTAAGATGTTCAGCTCCAAAGGGGAATGTTACCTTCTACTACTCCTGCACTACATTTGGATTTAGAATTAAGATAAACTGAAGATGGTCAATGTTCCAGTTACATTTTTCATTAGACTAATAGAATGGAAAACATGAAAAAAAAAATGGGCAAGCTTTTCTGGCACATGAGTTCTGGCACATACCTGCCTGTGTTATCTGCCACAGATGAACGTTTATGTGACCAAGAGCTCTGACTTTTTTTTTTTTTCTATATCTACCTGAACTGTCTGAATTACTACACTACTTCCAGAAAATCTTCCTTCTCAGATTCTTAGTTGCACACTTGTACTGTGTCCACTGTTGATGGATTTCTAGATATATACCCTTACAAACAGTCTTAATCATGGTCTTAGCCACAGGTTTTCTCATTTGATCCATTGCAGGTTCATGTATTAGGCAGTCAGAGAGATTATTGGGGATTTACAGTGCTCAGTAGATGAACCTCTTCCTGCGAAAGCATCTAAGAAGCTACCATTAGGAAACATGTCTGTGAAATAATGTGCCTGTCTGTTGAATTTTGGTTGCCTACTATACAATTGTTCTTGAAACTTTAGCTTTTAAATGTTGTGCTCTATAACTGTGTTTGTACATGTGCTATTTTAAAAAAACTATACTTGTCTTAACATTTTGATTTTATTATTGTGGGATTGCTCTGTTACAGGTTATCTCTTCACGTGAAAATTGTCATGAATTTCCCAGACCAAAAATTAATGTTTATATTAATAAACATACTCTGGCAACTCCAAGAAATGGTATATTAAGAGATATTACAAAATTTGATTAAATTTGTGGAGAAATGATGAGGCACAGAAAAAAATCCTTCTTCTAGGGCCTACAGCAATGCATATTAGGCAAGATAAACAAAGCAGGCCAGGAATATTTGGAGAGAAAGACACCTGCTTCTAAAAGGGTACTGTGGTATCCAACCATTCCATAATCTAGCATTGTCTGAGGGAACAGAGGGAGTGGGAAATTGTATGCTATTGCTTGTGTTTTCAAACTCCAGTGTGGTTCATGTCAGCATGCATGTACCTAAACACACAAATACATTTAAGTACTACACAATCTGCTGCTGAGGTCACAAACAAGTAGAATGCCTTAAGAATGTCACCAGGATGCATTTTCTGTTTCAGTGAAAGCATGTTAAACCTATATTGAGGAAACATGCCAGGCACAATGTCCATGGTGTACAATCTTTTGAGACCAGAGGACATTGAAAACAAATACATGCCTATCACACAGCTCAGAGCTGGCTTGCTATCTAGAGCAGTAAACTTCAGAGGAGTTGATCTGTGTGCTGCATGGTCCTGGTTTGATGCATTGGGGGATAGTGAAAGTATGTTTTGAGAAACTTCAAGAGCCCATTAAAGAGAAGTTGTGTCTTCTGCTAAGAATTCAAAGCTTCTAAGCTAGAATGGAAGCTCTTAGAACAAGAAACAGCACATAATAGCACCTCATGTTAAAGCTTTGTTGTTAGGCATGCCTTGGGTTTTATAAAGTGGAAATACCTGGGATCTACTTGGACTAGAACTCAGGACACTGTACAAAATGCCGCCTTAGGGAACTGAAAGAGGAACCAAAACTGATGGAGGTCAGCACCAACTGCTGTACTTGCCAAGACAAATGGAGACTACAGTTACATAAATTGGGATACTTGTGTCACAAAGGTTTTGTAATGTATAAATCATTATTATGATGCACCTTGCTCTCATCAGGACCTAATCATGCAGACTTTTAGCTACTCAGTTGTGTTCAGGCTACAGACAAATAGACTAACTTCAGTCTGCAAACCTATTTCATTAAAAGCACTGTACATTGAAATACCCATTCATGAATCATTGGATGCAGTCATTTCCTTATAAAGTAATATGCTCAAATAATCTATAAAGACTAGTACCATAGATCAGTACTATAGAGGAAAATTTAAATGCTTTAGGAAATATTACAACCTGCTGGTTCCAGTTGTGTGAAGTTTTTTTATTTAAAAATAGTTAACCTGTCTTAGCTGAATGTGATCCACTACTATATACTCTGATCACTTTCCTCTTTTTGTCTCTTTCTCTTTAAACTGTCAACAAATCCAAAGTCTAGGAACAGCAGACATTTCACAACTTTTCAAAATTTGTACTGAGTAGACTGTGAAATAAAACATTCAGCAACAAATTGCAGCTGTTAACAGCTGAAAGAGTATCTGGGTGTTTTCAGATGTCCTGTTCTTCCAATGGATTTTTGATGTTTATTCCCTGTAGAGATTGAGCTTTCAGTTTTGGTGGGAAATTTTGTTTCTAGACTTTCCAATTGCAAAGATAAATTTGCAAATGTGGACCACACCACTGTTGATCTGTATCAAACACATAGAAAAAAAGGCGTTCAATATGAACTACCCTTTTTGACAGTAGAATTCGAAGCCTGTGATCAGAAATCTTTTTATCAGCATGCCCAGTTAGCTTCTGTATTCTGTATGAGTAGGTGCTACATTTATTGAAAATGCAGTTTGCATGCCTAAGCATACACTACTTAACCTTTTATTTTCCTCATAGTTGCTCAGGGGATCCCATTTTCATCTCAAACTCACAGACCCTACATTAATGTTTCTTAATTACATTACCTCTGCTATCTTCAGAGTACACTAAGGCAGTCATTTTCTGATGATAAATATGATGATCTATTCCCACCCATCCAGGTAATCTAACAACACAGACCTAATCAGGGTCAATTCTGACACTATCCACCTCTGCAGAGACTCACACTTGCTGAAAAAAGGACAGATGGTACTTAATAAATTCTTTTAACCCTTTTGGAAAACAATGTCAGCCCATGCATCTGAAGACAGCACTTTTGATCACCACTAGCTTTGTACAACTTGCATTCAGCAGATCTCTACCTAAATAGGTCAATACCACCCATTTGATGAAGATCTAACACAAAATGGACAGTAACAAACTAAAAGGCAACATGTTTGAATATGGGAAACGAAACAGACACAGAAGAATGGACACTCCAGTGCATTATATAAAGAAGAAAATAATTGCATATCTCTGCACAGAAAAGGAGGTTCTTAATACAATTCGCTCCGTGTAATGATGGACATTTTTCTACCCTGGTCTTCATTTTCAACTAACTGTCCTCCTTAGGATAACAGACCAAATTCCCTCTATAGCTAATCTTGGTGGTAGGTGGCTGAAGGCTGATCAGTGTCTGACTGAATTGCAGAGTGATCACCTGCCTTTAACAGGCTTCTCTGCTGTGATTCCTAATTGTTTGCATCCCCCGAAAAAAACTAGTGTCTCACTTCTCCAATACGCATGAAGTATCACAGTAAAACTAAAGTTACTGTTTTTCCAAAGTTATTGGCAATGCTTAAGAGCCGGCAAGGGAAAAGTATGCAGGTCCTTGCAGTGCTGAAACAGGTTGAGAGACTGGGAAAAGGCCAGGATTAAACAGTAGTTACAGACAATGGAATCATCATAGAATTATCAAAGTTGAGAGAGAACTTGAAGATCTTGAACACCTGCAGGAATGGTGACTCCCCGCCTCCCCGGGAAACCTATTCCAATGCCTCACCACGCTAGGAATTATTCTGTTTTGTTTTGTTTTGTTTTGTTTTTTTCCTAATATCTAACCTGAATGTGCTCTGTCTCAGCTTAAGGCCATTTCCTCTTGTCCTCTCACTTAGAGGCACAGCAGAAGAAACTGTTCCCCACCTGGCTACAACCTCCTTTCAGGGGGTTGTAGAGAGCGACGAGGTGTCCCTCCCCCGAGCCTCCTCGAGACTAAACAAACCCAACTCCCTCAGCCGCTCCACGTCAGAGACATGTTTTCTAGACCCTAGATCAAAGATACTTGTGTGAATGGGTGGACTGCCCACGTTTGGAAACCGTTGTAGCGTCACCCCGCTAACGCCAAGAAACCGCGCGACCGAACACACGCAAACACCCCCAGGCCGCTCCGAAAGCCGGCGGTGCAGCGGCCCCGCGAACCTCCGCCGGCGGGGGCTCCGCGCAGCCCGGACCGCGGGGGCCGCGGGCGGGACGCCGGGCCCTTGCTCCCGCCCGCCGGCAGGCGGTGCCGGCTGCCGCTTCCCGCGGCGGAAGCGCCCCCTCGCCTCGCCCGCTCCCCGCGGCGGCGCCGGCCCGGGCGCCGCCGTGAGACGCGGCGTATGCCCGGGCAGGAAATATATCAAGAGAGAAGCAAGCCGGCGCGGCTCACAACTTCCCTGCTGCCCGGTATGGGAGCCCGGCGGCGCCGATCCGGTCACAGCCCCGACAGGAAGCGGCGGCAAGCACCGAGCCCACCCACGGTGCCCTTGCGAAGGTTTTATCGCGGGCGCCTCGGACGGATCTGTGGCTCTGGGCGGTGCCGTCACCTCCTAGCCGCTGTCCCGGGCGCGTCCCGACCCGACCGGCGGAAGCCTGTGCATGTTATTCTGTTGCCGCGGACTGGCTGCGGGAAGGGTCCGTCTCAGAGAGCGGCTCGGCGCGCACAAGCCACCGGCCCGCCGGGGGGTTCCTTACGCACGGCCTCGTGCGGTGCTGGGCTCAAGAGAGAGCGGCCCGGAGAGATGCCCGCTGGCACAGGCCACCATGCCAGGCCACAGACACCATGGCAGGCACAGACACCATGGCAGGCACAGACACCATGGCAGGCACGGGCACCATGGCAGGCACAGACACCATGGCAGGCACAGACACCATGCCAATTTCCATCTTAGCAGGGTAGCTTTAAATGATGAACTCTTGTGATTTAATTGCACAGCAAATCAGAGGGATGGATTTCTTCTGCTTTAAAGTGTGCCTTCATATGTAAGCAGCAGCTAGTATTTGCAGATGATATTCCCCAGTTAATGTTTACAGGTAGTCTTTGTTTCTTGAAGATTTAAAAAATTTCCCTAACATAAGGAGGTTTCAGTAATCAAAAATGTAACTTCTGTAATGTGGTTACTTTGCAATATGAAACACTGTTTGGAACCTGAGAAGTCCACACTAAGATATACCTTGCAATTATGAAGGGAAAACTATTGCAAGCACAGGTGAAGCTGTAAGTTTCTTCTCTAATTCACTAAAAACCATGAAAACAATACTTGCCCTCCTTGATTTTAGGAAGCAAAATGCAATGTACCATCTGGAGAAAAAGTGGAAGAAACTGAACAACCCAGTGATGTAGAAGAAGGAGGATTAGATCTCACAGTGTCACTCAAACCTGTCAGTTTCTACATTGCGGACAAAAAGGAAATGCTTCAACAATGTTTCTGTGTCATAGGGGAGAAGAAACTACAGAGGATGCTGCCTGATACTTTAAAGGTACCGAAATAAACTTGACATTGATATACTTGTTATGATCTTGAATCCTTGTGTAACAAAGCATGTTCATCTCTTAAGTCTAGTGGATTTAGAATTTAAAAGCTACCTGTATATTTCTTAAGTAAAGAAGTCACTGTCAAGTCAAGTACTTTTCTTAAGTAAAGAAGTTTTTCTAGACTGGAAATGAGACTGTTTAAAGATTTGCTGTAGTTATTCTTGATTACTCCTTTTTATACTGCTCAGCTGTTGCTGAACTGTAGGCTTATTTTTATACTATCTCTCTGTACTGTTTAGTTAAGTGCAAAAGGAATTTCATAACTGCAAAGAGTAAATTCAGTAATGTTGTTCAGTAATTAATATGATGATTTGTTAATAAATTGTTGATTTCTGTTTATGTCAGCTGATTTTCTTTTTATGATATTAAAGTAGTGTCTGAGATAAGAAAATAAAACCCTGTGTTGATAAACAACTTCTGAAGCTGTAACTTCTGTGGACTAAAGCTAGAGTTTTACTGGCTTTGAACATATGCCTTTTGAGTCTTGTGAACAGCAGGACATAGAAAAAAATAAGTTAAGCTAGCAGTCTGTACAGAAGAAGGTGAAGTGCCATTTGTGTGATGTTAGTAGTTTTAAAATTTTTGTCTCTAGTTTTTAACTAATCCGAATGAGTTGTATTATTAATATAAGTGAGGCAGGATTTCTTCATTTTAAACACATATGGAATTGCATACAGTCTCATCCGTTTCTCATCTCTGGGAGAAGAAAAGAGGTCGAGCAGCCGAAAGCAAAGACATTACTGAGTTTGTAAGGAAATTGCCTGGTGGTATAGAACCCAGCCTACTGTAGGACTGTGAGTGTTACAATATGTTCAGCACTTCTTAATTTTGGTACTTGTATGTGGTGTCATAGCTCATTTGAAAGTGCAAAATTACCACATTGTGTCACCAAGAGGTATGACAGATGTATTGAGCGTGAGAGATGAATCACAGTTTACATATTTCTTTTATTTTCAATGTTGTGATATGCAACTGTGTGTTGTCAATAGCAGTATTTTCTTCAGTTTGTGAACTTGTATTCAACAGTTGGCTCTGGTCTTTGCACGCTTAATTATGTCATCCACTTCCTCCCGACTGATGGAGAATTAGGAGTAAGCAGGTCTGCAGTTGTTTGCTGTCCCATGCTTCACACATATGGTCTGGTATTTATAATGCTCAGTGTTGCAGCTGCAGTGGAAACTCCCAGCCACACATCAAGTAACTGATACTGTGTATTGCTTAATTTTTCAGAGAAAAACTACACCTATGCTATTTCTGGTAGTTGTCAAAACTGGAACATCTAGTTTTCTACAGCAGTTGCATCAATGCAGATAACATGAGAGGGGCTTGCAATCCAAGTTAACTCTTCATTCATTACAGTTGGAGTACTACTTATGTTTAGAATTACTCTTTTCTCAGAATTTTTTAGTAGTTTGTTGTCTGTCTTACCTGTTTTCTTAGAACTGTTCCATGGATGAAATCAAAAGACTTTGCATGGAGCAGTTGGAGCTGTTATCTGAAAAAAACCTGTTGAAGATACTTGAAGGTATGAATTAAACTTCTAGACTCCACTGTACACCAGAGAATAGTCTGCCTCAACAGGATTTATACTCTTTCTAGCTGCTTTATATACTTATACATCTTTACACACACTGTTAAGTACATATTAGTGTGTACATAATCCCTCTGTTCCATCAGGACACACAGTTCATGTACTTGGATTAAGGATATGACACTCCAGCTTTTTGTTATTTTATTGAATTTCCACTTGACATTTAAAGGCTATAGAATTTATTTGTAAACATATTGTTGTCTTCTCAGTGAAGTGGAACTCTTCAAGTCTTGAGTTTTGTGGAGTATCATGCTGTTAATTCTGTCTCCTGTGCTTAGCACCTCTAGTATTGTGCTAGGAACACCTAATAAGTTTTTTTGTAATACAGTATAAATGAAAAATGTCAACCATGTGGCTAGCAGAAAGCTCACAAATAAGGCTTTTGGTTTTGATGAAGTCTAATTTTAGAACTTATGCTTTAACTGGGAAAAAAATCCTCTTCTGCTAATTGTAATAGAGTTAATAATTAAGAGTAAGCCTAATTATGTAGTATTAATTATATCACCTTCCTAAATTTTCGTGTTTGAAACTGTGTATATCTAGGCAGGATGGGAGCTGATTCTGATACTGACGAGGAGACAAATGGAGGAGACAAGACTGGAGATGATTCAGTCAGTCAGTGAGTAAAAGAAAAAACACTTAAACTTACTTTAAGAAGACTGAACAATACAGAGATTTTTCATAAGAAATGATCAAATATATCATTGAAAAACCCTAGTGCTATATCCTTAATGAAGTAATTACTCCAGTTGAATGACAGTTATCTGTGACCACTGGCAAGCACTAAACTTACAAAAAGGAATTTGTCACTTTATAACATTAAATGTGTCTTGAGCACATAACTGGGTTCATAGTGGCATACTACCCATCAGCTGAATTGTGGTACTTAAACGTTCACACTTGAAGCCTGCAACAGAGGGCTCTTGATTTAGGTTAACTCTCTTTGTGTGAGCTAAAGCAGGTTAAGTAACCCCTTCCCACTTAGGTCAGTGAATTTTGTGTGTTTTTGTTTCAGCTGAGATTTATCCCTTCTGTTTTCTTTCTGGTCCTTCATCCTGCCCCAGCTGAAGCAGCACTGACACTCAGTGTCCTCTGTTAGGGATGATGTAGAATGTAGCATTTCAAGAACAGAGGCTTCTCAACAGCAGAGGCTTCCGGTTTCTTATTCTTGACATCTGTCAGTTTTGTAGAGGCCAACACTTTTTAAAGTTTTCTTAAAATGCTTGTCTGTTTTTTAAAGACCATTTCTTTGTCAGAAAGAGTTCACCTGTTTGATAGTTTCTGTGGAAGTAGTGAAGGGGAAAAGAAAGTTACTAGTTATCACTCACAACACATCAAATCTTAGGAGGCTAATTTGCTTCTAGAAGATGAATAAGCTTTTGTGTTTTCAGCACTGACCTGGTTTCAGCTGGTCCACAGATTCAATGCACACTTAATGAATCTTTGAGTACAAGACAGTACACCAATATTGGGCAGATTCAAGTACCTCTTAGCTGCTGGTTTTGTTGGTTTATCTAAACCTACTGAATGGGAACAGTAGTAGTAACAGTAATCCAAATTACTATTGGTAGTAATCCAAATTTCACACTCTGGTCAGTATTTTTATTTAACGGAGACCTAACTTCTGATTCTGTCTGATTCAGAACAGGCTATGCAGTTACTGAATGAAGTAATTTTCTTTGATCGCATCTCATCATATAAACACAAGAAAACAGAGTGATACTAAATTATGTTTCATTTTTTTTCTCATGATACAGTTTTCAAACCCTCTGACACTATTTCTTTTAAGGTTCCATTTGGAGCCCATTTGTCACTGTATCCCTCTTTGCTATTTGTTGTTTACATGATCTGTGAATAGGGTCTGTATTAGGACACATGAAAGTTAGTTTTCTTAATTTGGACATTTCTCTCTGCTGACTGTTTAAAAACGCAAATAGAGAAAATCAAAAATTACAAAATATGCTAAATATATGGTCTCTTTATGTAAAGGAGTCTCTGCTAAGTGATTGATGTTTTGCCAGCAAAGTTCTAAATAGAATGAGAAGACAAACTTTTTGGCTAAATAAACCATGAAAAATGCCTCAGGGTTTTGATTCCTGGAGAAATTATATGTTGGATTTGTTGGGCGTTTTTTAAGGCCTAATTCACAAGCTCTTTACTATTGCAAAATATATTAAATGTTCTTTATCTTCGAGAGTTATGGCAGGATTAGTGCTGCTGGGTTTCAGTGAGGTGGGTCTGTGTCTAAAAGATGTTTGCTAATGTTGAGACTTGTATTTATGACCCTTAGTTACAGTAGATTGGGTAAATTCTTGCTTATGTGAAAATTATTTGAGATGGTAAAAATCTAAAAAGAGGGAATTAATGGATAAAACAATAAAATAAGAAAAGCAAGAAGGATTTACCATTTTTAACTAGTGGATATCTGAAGACACTTAACCTATTCGCCTGTGTCAAGTAGGAAGGTTTCAGTAACTGACAGCAAAATCAAGAAAAAATTGTGTTTTAAAAAAGTAAAAGAATGAGAGATGTTGATCATAGTTATGAAGCAGATTGCTTCCTTTTGGAAACAATGCTTGAGGTGCCCCCTGCTCTTGTATCTCTGTCTCTATCCTGAGAGTTTAAGATTTCAGACCTCTTCAAACTGGGCAGGCAAGGTATGTTGGTTTAGGAATTGTGGCTTTTCTTCTGCCTTTAAAAAATAGTGTGCTATACACATGGGTGCTGTCTGAGGACCGTGGCTCATAGGTTCAGCTGTGTGCCAGCATTAAAAAAAAAAACAAAATGGGAAAGCTGTTTGGATGGTAGAAAAATAAAGGGATAGGAGGAAACAAAGAAAGTTAAGGTTTTATGTTAAAGTCCAGCACTCAGTAAGTAGACTAGTATTATCCTTTTACAACTGTAAATGGTAACAAGCCCTTTTTACTAATTAGGGCTAATCTTTGGGTGTTAGGGTAGCTTCTTTGCAACCTGTGTGTAAATAATTATAAATGCAAGTTTGCAAAACTTCAGAAACTGTGTTTCAGCAACAAGTCAGCCGGCAGAGAAGCTAAACATGCAATCATGAAAAAATAGTGAATGCTGCATTGCTAACAATTTCAGTTGTTAGTATATTTATAATTATAATCTGAGTTTAAGTGGGTGAATTTATCTTCTCTTAGAAGAGAAAAGACTTTTCATAACAAAAAAGGCAGTTTCTCTGTTTGTATTCTTATTGTTGGTTCTCCCTAGATTGTCTTCATTACTTGTGGTTTTCATGTGATTGACTTCTTTTTCCTGCGTTCTATTAATGTTGCAAAAGTAAAGCATTAGGGCTTTTTTGTTTTAAGTCTGACTTGTATTAGTTGTTTTCATGGAAGCGTAAATGTGGAAAGGGAAAAAGTGAATACCAAGTCTTACTCTAATCCAAAATGTATTAGCTGATGGAAACATCAATTTGTTTTTTTCATTTTTGTCCTTAAAAAAACCCCAAACAGACAAACCTCAGAAATGTGCATATATCAACAGAAATCCAGAAAGTTTTAATCAATACATCTCAAGAAATTACAAGTGTATGAAAATTTACAGGCTTCCTTAGAAGGGTACAGTTTGAACTGTGTCTTTTTTTTCCCCTAAAATAGGCAAATGACTCTCTGTCTCTAAAGACCTGCTTCTTGTCTCCAACAGCTAAAAGCAGCAGGGATTTAGAGAAGTTTCTCCAGGTACAGGGAAAATTGCAGAATTCAGATCTTTATCTGATGCTTTTGGGTGGTATCACATCTAAGTGTAAATTGGATCTTCCTTTTTTTGTTGTTTTTGTACATGTCCTCATTCTGCCACCAAAAGAGGAAGTCCTGGGGCTTTTTTTTCAGCTCTATAAAAGCTTCACATGCTTCCATTAACATGTAAAACATTTGCTCTTTTGTCACTAGCTTCTTCTATGTCAAGCACTAGAAATCCTGCAATAACTGTGCAGAAGAACTGAAGAGGCAGGGCCTATTTTTGACAGTAACTGGAAATTGCTGTTGCAATAAATTACTTCATTACTTGTGAGCTCTGTATAGATTTTTGTCTATGCAGTTCTCAGATTTTTGTTACTGTTTCTGTGTTACTTTCTGCAATGGAGTACCATTAAACCAGGAGAATTACCGTATACCAAGCTTCCAGTTAAATTTCAGATACTTAATTGAAAGGAGCCAAATAATGCCTTGGGAAACCAAATAGTCATTCTTCCCACCTCATTCAAGAGGTATGTTCTTGAGCTATTTCTTTCCTGTAACCCTAAATGCAGCTATTTAAATATCCTCCAGCAGAAGGAATGAAAGTAAGTTATATGCTGTAATAGTAAAACATAATTGAAAGAACAAGCATGCTAATATTATTATAGTGATCGTATGTTCACATGTGTGTAAACAAATGACCTTTTGCTTTCAAAATTTTAATGGGCTTATTTTTTTCACTGAATGAAAATTTGAAGTTTAATATTTGCTCTTTAAAGAATTTATAGGCTTTTTACTGCTTTGCAGTCATAAGTGCAGTTTCTGCTTGTTTTCTTTTAGAAAGGTTGGCAGTTTAAAGTTTTGCCTTGTTTTAGCATGTGCTCCTGGGTACTGGGCTGTTCACAAGCATGGAACTGCAATGTGGTATTTACCCCAGGGGGACAATTTGGTTATATTCACCATTTGGAATCACTGAAACAACAGGCTACATGAGCCAGTGAACAGATACATTAGCATTTGGCTAATTTGGTTCAGTGTTTTCTGTTCTTGTGATGTCCTCAAACAACACCTATAGAAGGACTGAGGGAACTTTTATAGTTCATTAAACTATTTGATTAGCATCTGTCATTTGAGATACCTTTCTTAAGGAACACTACTTTATGAGAACTTTTTTCTCCTTACTTTTTTTAATTGCTTCCTGATAATTATTTTAGTTCTCATTTGTCATTGAAAACTATCCTTGGAATGAAAATTGGCAAGAATCTTACAAGGACTTGGGATTGTAGAAATGTTTTTTAGACTTGGAACTAAGTGCAAAGGCAAATTTTAATTCACGACAGTACATCATCTTTATGTCAAGAATAGCAGAGATACTGAACTCAAGCCTCACACAGGAGATTTAGGTGAATGTTTCTTAGTGATTATTGAAAGCCCCGTAAAGAAAGTATCAGCATGACTGTCTCTCATGTTTTCAGACTTTCTTCTAGTCCACTTTATTAAGATATTTTTTTCCCTCACAAGACTTTCCCTCCTGGTCTCCAACCAGGAGAAACTTGGTATCCCAGACACCAGTACTGCAGTGCTACTGTCTTAATCCTTAGCCATCCACGCCTATGACCGGTAGCCCTTTTCCTAACCTGTGCTACTGTCTTACCTCACTTTGCATAATCTACTGGAGTTGTGATACGAATTCACCCTCAAACCCAAATGTCTTTGACAACTATGCAAATTCCTGTAACAAATGGTATACAGAATCTACATGTGTGAACCCAGGTAAGCATTGCACTGGTGTGGAGCATGCCAATATGAAATGTATGCTCTACATAAAACAAGGTAAATTTAATTTACAACATTTGTCGTCAACAAACTGTAACTGTAGTTAGCTTCTTTCTGCTGAAAAGATCATACTGCGAAATTGTTGTTCTGTTAAAAAAATAAATTAAAAATGCTGAGTTTATTGCTTGGAAGAGGGACTTTGAACTTAACTATCATCCCTGAGGGAGAAGTATCTTTAAAGGCTGATAAAAAGAGGGAACTCTGAATTACTGTTGTCACTAGCATAGCATGAAAGAAGAGGGTATTAAATTTGTGTACTGTCCCTTAATTTTAGATTAGCATATCTTCTACTCCCATTGTTTGAAGACAAGATATTGTACTACCTCTTTTTAAATCTAAACCACAGTATAGATAATTAGGGGAAAAATATTTTTTCACTAGCAAACAAATTAAACAAGGTTAACAAATTGAAAGCAAAACTGAACTGGACTGAAATGCATCTGGTGGGCCAGTAGATGGTGCAAAATGCTTGCCTGTGAAAGGAAGTCATGGAGGTTCACCAGCAGTACAGTCCAATCCTGTCAATTCTGAGAGAGTAAAATGTGCTGTTAAAGTACTTGTGGGTTCTAAAAATTCTTTTACTCATAAGGAGGTAGTCTTTTATGGAATGTGGTTTTGGTATAATCATTGATAGAATGAAGGAAACAGGAGGAAACTTTACAAGTTTCAGTGTGTGAATTTTTTCAGTTGATAATTTCTTTTTACATGGCTGTTAAAATGGGTGTAGATAATTTCACAGCTGTTGTTTGAACTGTAGAGGTTCAATCACCTCTTTCTGTCAAAGAGGTGATTATAATTCCTCATCAGATCTCAAGGTGGTACCAGAGATGTAAAATTTGTTGCCTGATGCTACTGGTGCAAGCTTGGGCTTTTTCTGGTGACATATTGCTCTCCAGTGCAGAGCTGACTACTCAGTTCAAAATGATGAACCATGTGCATGAAGGAGGATGGGGTAGGAGCAGGGGCAGCCCAAGCAGCTTCTGCTAAAGGGTATATCACAACCTTATTTTGGTCAAGAGATAGGTGACTAAGTATAACAAACTGCTAGGAATTGTTTACCAAAAAAAAAAAAAATAATAAAAGGAAAAAAAGAAAAAATCAAATTGTTCCTTCCAGGTAGCTGGACTAGATCCGATACAGCTCACAGCTCTCCCCAGCTGCTGGCACACAAGCCCACAAGGTTTGTATCCCCACTCCAGCTGCTGATCAGACCTCCTTGTGCATGTAGGCCTGTCCAATGGCAGGTGCAGGCCTGTGATTGTCCCCAGTAGCTGACAGACTATTGATCTCTGGAGTGTTTAGTGCTCCATTAAGGTCCCTGAATTTGCCTGCTTGCAGGGCCTGGTGTATTTTAGGAATTCACCTTCTGATTTTCCAGTCTATTTGATACCTTACTCCCAGACCTCTCGTCCTACTTGTTGGCTAGACTAGCCTGAGGTTTGAGGGTGAATTACAAGCATCTGCATACTGATGCATGACATTGAAAATCTTGGAAGAAGTGTACATTTTTCATTCTTTGTAGTTTCCAGTTGAGTTGACCAAGTAGGAAAACAAGCTGAAAGGATACCACTGAGTTCTGAGAAAAATTTGTCACAGTAAATAGTCTATTCTCAGTTTATTGTAATGGCATTGGGCAGTACATTTGTCTGTCTTCTATTGAGGTGCATAACATTAAAAAATCTATTTTTTGGGGTGCTGTGTGCATTATGAAAATAGCTCACATTTTCCATAATCAATTATTGTATACTATTTTACACATTTATTTTCCAATGGCTAAAAAAGGTGGGAGAAAAAAAAGAATTTGTTGATTTGTAGCCTTTGCTACTTCAGAAAAAGAAATAGAAGTGAAAATAGCTGCCTCTCAGACCAGGATGTCCAGGAGTATTACGGTGTTCTCCTCCCTGACATAAATGTTGAACACCTAGGGAAAAAAAGACAACTTGGAGAGCATGGGGAAAGTAGATCAGTATTCGATTTTAGGAAGACCCTTAAGGCCACTACTGAAAAACAAGTTATTAGTTGTGGGGTGAAGTCACAGCCCCACAACTGAAGCTTGAGGAGTTTGGAGTGTTGCGGGGTGTTAGGCCATTTTCCGTGGGAGCAGTGGAGCCGGTTAGATAATTCCCATGGACACAGCCTTGAGCTGTGTGGCTGAAGTGCAGGTGCGCATTCCTCAGTGTTTTTGTGGAAATGTGTTTGTGTTGTGTGTGTGGGAAAGTAGAAGTGGGAGAACCTAATAAAAGGCTGCCTGCTGCTCTGAGCAGGCAGACATCTCTGTCTCACCATCCTCGTGTGTGTCGTCTGTCCTTTTTGCCCCTTCAAGCCGAGACCCTTTGACAGATACCCAGTGACAATTAGTCATCGTATTTACATCTGTGGTGCCGGAGTACTGCTTCCTTTTTATAGTGTTATTAAGCTCCCACAGGCAAGATAGTTGCACTGATTCCATATTACTGTATATGAAATCAGTGCCACACCAGCAGTACCAGTTTAGGAAATGGGCAATTCTGCTTTTAAAATGCTCACTAAAAATGGCATAAACGTAAATCCATCCTGTGCTGCTGGGTCCTTCCACCTGTGCCCTTCCTGCATGTTTCGCTGTATTTTCGCAGTTTTTATAACTAATAGGTGTTAAGTGTGTGAAGTACATGAACATTTCACGGAAGTGTCTCCTCCTTATCCCTTGTACAATGCAATTGAAACGCTACAAGTCAAGGGTAGAAATCTTTAAATAGACGGACTAGAGAAATGCAGGTACTGGATACAATGTAACAGCTCAGTTGCAGTTTAATATTTAAAAGTATCCTTTTGTGAAACCATGAGATTGTTGTTTTGGAGAGCTAGGTAGTGGTGGGCTAATTATAACTTCATGAAAGTAACTTTTTACTTTCGAAGTAAAACAGTAAATAGTATTTGAATGCAGCAGAAACTGTTGTTTTTTCAAATCGTTTAACTCTGTGACAGTTTATGTCGAGTTTTAGGGAAAAGCTCCTAATGTGAGAAGCTGTGGTTCCTCAGCTGTAACCACTGAGGATAGTTACGCTGAAAGGCTAGGATGTAGTGGAAATAATTGCTTTATCCTTGTGTATAACTAGGCAAAGCAAAAAAAAGGTGTGTTTTCAATTGCTCAGATTAACACTCTGTATGTTCCTTCTTCCTTGATTCCCTGCAGTGGGCTTATTGGCCTACCACCTCATAATTTCTTTAGTTTCTTTAAAAAGTTACACTAAATTGTAAGTTATGATGGTTACAGTGTGTTCTTAATTTTTTCCAGACAGGACAACAGTATAGACTCAACTTCTTCTCTGAGAGAAGACAGCAAGCTGGAAGGTCAGGAATCAAAACAAGGTATGCAGTAGAGAAAGCTGAAATTTCATTTTCTCAGTGTTGCTCAGTGACTGATTCCAGGTTATGCACAGCTCTCTTGTGAATAGTAGCTGCAATCACAGAGAAGTATTCTCTTAGAAATAAGCTGATGTAGGGTTACAACATTGGCCCTGAGCCCAATTACAGAAAAGTTGATGGGAGCATTGAAGAAGACATTGTAGGAACTTTGGCTTCTTAAGTCTGTAGGAGTGGAGAGTTTTTTATGGGTGGAAACAAATTGCAACTTTTCAAAATTTGCTAGTTTAGCTTCTGGATATGAGTAAAGTTCTTACAATGGTCATTTGGCTCTTCATATCTCGTTTTTCAGCTGAAGAGGAACTTCAATCATTAAAGTTTATTGATGTGTAGGTGATTGCTAATACTGCTATTACTATTTGCTGAATTCGAGTGTCAATTTTAGTTTACGTTGAAATGATCGTATGAGTCTACAGTACTTTGTTTTTACATTCATAGAAATCCATTATAATAATTGTTTGCCAAAGGACTGCTTGTAATTTAGTCACTTTTTTCAGTCTTGATATATGATACCTTTCCTTTTTTGATTGTGTAGAGCCAAGGTCCAACAAAATGGTGCTTGACACCCACCACTCCTGTTAACTGGCATATTTTACTTGAAATCAGTGCCAGTAGAAGTACACACTCAAGTCTTTGAACCACTGAGGATGAATGTTTTTTCTTCTCTACTTTCTCTTTTTAAATGCAAAATTATAGTGGGTGAGACATTCAGTGATTGGCAGAATAGAAGATGCAAAGGCAAGTAAGTTAGTGGTGCACATTTGAGTACTTCCTACACAAGGAAATAGTATTTTTAACCTGCAGCAGTATTTATTTTATTTCAGTCATTAAATCAGCACTGAATAATAACTGCTTGTATTAGTTTGTGCATGAAGCACTAGAACTGTAGGTGTTTCTGTTTCAGTATGTTTATTTTCATTTGGACTAGCTGTATGCAATACATCAGAAATAGCTTTTCCAATCAGAGAATGTTGCAAATTCTTCTAAGCTTGATTTCTCTTCTGCACAAATGTAACATTATTTGTGTCTTGCAACTTCCTTTTCACAATTTAGAATGCTTTTCTAAGAGATGTCTTTTGTATTTACTTTGTGAAATGTGTTCTTTTCTGAAGCAATTAGTGACAGGAGTTAAATGGAGAAGGAAAGAGTCATAATAAAAGCATCAAAACTTTTAGGAGTGAGTTGCTATGACTTTGTGAGGAATCCTTTAAATGTTGCTTGCTGTACTAAATGGAGGGATGTTAGAACTGACAGATTTCCTGCAGATTTCTTCCACTTTTGTGTTATCAAAGGGAATTGATGATGGTTGCGGGTGATTGCATAGGTGTTTTTTATGAGTTAATCAACCAAAGTGTCATGATGGCTTTGGACAATAACAGTGGCTCCACTCAAGTTGTTAGCTTTAAAGAGCTACTAAGAATATCAATGTAAGTTAAAAAGTATAACTCCAATCGTTCTGCTGTGCTGCAGCCTGAGATGCTATGGGAAGAAAAGGATAGAATGAGAGGATAAGCAGAAGCAGATAAAATAAAATTTAAAAATGAAATTAAGTGTGTTAAAGTGAATTTTGTAATGTAGATGAAGGAAAAAGTAGAAATTATCAAAATGAAAAAGATAATAAGAAATGCCAGCCACTATCTTTACTACTGAGTAAAAATACAGCTGCAAAAGAGGAAAATAAAGCCTCTTAGCTCCTTAAACATCTGTAGGCTAATAAGCTTGTAGGAACACTGTATTTATACAGTAGTGGAGGTTCCAAATTCTGAATAGAACACATAACTGTTCTGCCCACCTTCCTCATCCTTATGAAGTTTGGGACAATCATGAAGGACTTAATGTTTTGTTTCTTCTTAATGTGGCCATTTAATTCCAAAAAGAATCCTATGGTGGGCTGAGCCCAGCCAGCAGTAGGCACATACCAATCTCTCAATTACTTGTTCCTCAGTAGGGTATAGAAGATGATCAGAAAAGTAAAATGAGAAAAACTTAAGAAGCAAGTTTAACAAGTGAAACAAGAGCTGTGCACTGAAACAAAGCAAAATTAGATATTTTTTCACAACCTCCCACTGACAGATTTTTAGCCACTTCCTAGAAAGCAGAGCCTCAGCATAACAGTTACTTGAGAAGACAAATGCCATAACACTGAACATCTCTCCTTCCTCCTTCTTTCCTCCTTCTTTTGTCAAGAGCACAATGTCATATGGAAGAGGATATCCCTTTGGTCAATTTGTCTCAGCTGTCCTGTCTGTGTATCCCTCCCAGCTTCTTGCACAACCCCACTCTACTCTCTGTGGGGTCATAGTCAGAAACAGGGAAAGACCTGAGGCTGTGCAAGCCCTGTTCAGCACTAGCCAAACTGGTGTGTTGTCAACACTGTTTCAGAAAAAAAGTCCAAAAACAGCAACATGGAGTCTGCTGTGAAGAAAATTAACTCCATCCCAGCCAGATTCAGTACAAAGTCAGTTTAACTTTGGCAGTGAATTAGGATGAGTATCCTCAGAAGTTAACTTTTAGGCTTTTGATCTATGATCCATTGATGCACCTAGCTTTCTGATCCCTGGTTGATGAACATGTTAGGTAAATGCTGACTGATAAAGTGCAGCAAGGCAGCAGAATTTCTGTTTCTTTATCCTGTTGATTCCCATTGCTTCTGATCTTTCACATACTTTGTGTCTTGCAAAGTCAAGTTGAAAAAATAATATTCAAAGGTAACTCAAGTAGTATGTGAAATGCTGCATCTGAAACTGAAATATTAATCTTGAAGTTACTGTCACAGTAGGGACAGGTCAAGACTACTTAGGATCAAAAGAAGACCCTGATGTGTTCATCTTATGAGTACTTTTTATATACACTGCTGTGAGGAGGATTTTTTTTGTACCTTTGTTTATATTTTAGGGTTTTAGATTTTGTTGCTTCAAAATTGTGATTTGTCTTCCAAAAAACAAAGACCAAAAGTTATCTGTAAACTTCTTTTTATGTCTTATCACACATTTGCATGAGCTGAATTTGCTTTCCTCTAAGCTTTGATTGGAATGTAGGACATGCCTCATACATTAGCTGTGTATTTTCCCAAATATACTGTATTTACCAGTATTATGGCCAGTTTTTGTAATCCAATAAACCCATGTTACGAGGTACTAGATTAATGACTATTTAAGATCCTAAATCAGGAGTACATTCTCAGGGTAAATGTGCAGTATTCTTAAATCTGAACTTAAATGCTGTAACAAATCATAGCCTGACATGGAGTGATCAGGATGGGATATCTGAATATCTTCTTTGAAGTATCTATAGTAAAAAAAAATCTTTAATCCTGAATTAGTAAAACCCTTGGACTAATGTTTTAAAATGTATAATTTATAAAACCATTTTGAGATATTTTGGTCCTCCCTTCCTTTGTTTTTTAAGCAGAGGAATTGCATTTATAGCTTTTCAAGTAGCCAGTATTGATTTTTTTTTTCCCTCACACCCACATGATGGCAGGAATGTTGTAAACCCCGAGAAAAATAGATCTTTCCTAAGGTTTTTGGGCACTTTTCATGGATTAAAACCAAATGCATGTGGGTACCTAAAGGCATATTAAAATGTTTAAAGAAAGGGTAATATTTTTCTAAAGCCTTATTTGTTTCCCCTGTGCAAGTGATAAAAATGGTTTTACCAAAAGAAGTCTTTATATATATTAAGACTTCCTATATTATGAAGATTTATTTACTATAAAGTCTTTAGAATAAGTAACTTTACCATCATCTGAATATACATTATTTATTTTAAGAAGGAACCAATCCTACTGTAAGTTTCCACAGATCCGAAGGTTGGTAAAGGAGTAATAACTTCTGAGGCCGAAGTGTCTTTGTATCTGGATTGTGAGAACATCTACTGAGGTTCTTTTAGACTTTTGCTTTTGTTTTATTGCACTGCCTCTTCTAAGCACATTTTTAAAAACATACTTCAACTTTCAGCCACCATTAAAAGCCAAAGCCACAAATTCCTCCATGTTTTTATCAAGTTAAATACATCTGGAATACTTTTGATAGATTCTGAATAGTTGCACTATAAGTGGATTTTCTATTAATTTTTAGTGCTGTGCCTGACTACAGTGTCCCACTCCCCTTGAAATACATAAAATAGTTGAGAATAAGTTTTGCAATTGCATTTTGAAAATTAAGTTTACTTAAGAAATAATAAACAATAATCAATTTTGCACTGCAGAAGCTTTCTTGTGATATCTTAAGACGTTTTAGTTAGGAAAATAGGTCATGTAACTTCATAGGATAGAATAAATTTTTCTGGTACTGCTGCTTTGCTATACAGCATGTTCTTTTAAATTGGCATAAAATGCATTAGCAATTGTATACATTAGATCAGCCTTGAAAGTTGAAGGAGAAAAAGAATAGGAATTGGTTGTTTTATAATCATAGATCTTTTTACCCCTCTCTTAATCTGCAGAGTAGTACTTTAAGCAGAAATGGTTTTGTAAGTTGAAATAAAAACAGTTCTATTAGGCAACTGTGTGATTACTGTGTTTGTGTTACAGGCAAGGGAGAAGATAGTGATGTCCTCAGCATAAATGCAGATGCATATGATAGTGACATAGAAGGCCCCTGCAATGAAGAAGATGGCCCAGATGTGCAAGAAAACACTGTGAGGAGTGGAGCTGGTCAGATAGATGACCTTCAGAAGGACATTGAGAAAAGTGTGAATGAGATACTGGGGTTGGCAGAGTCCAGCCCAAAGGAGCCCAAAGCGTCGACCTTAGCTGTTCCTCCATCAGAAGATGTTCAGCCATCAGCACAACAGCTGGAGCTTCTGGAGCTTGAGATGAGGGCCAGAGCTATTAAGGCCCTGATGAAAGCTGGTGATGTAAAAAAACAGCCCTGAGGTTGCTTAGGTTTAATTTTCAGTATTTGTTTTGAAGAAGGTGACATCTGTTCTCTTCAGTGCTATTGTGTATTTGGGTTGAGTATGACATTCCTCATTCAGACTGTATTGTGTATCCTGACCTGTGATCCATTGGTTTTGTTGCCTTTAGTGTGCTGCTTCTGTGCCATGCATAAGCAGAGGTTGGTGCTTCCCTGAGATGAGGTGTCCTTTTACTGGGTCATTTCCTCAAGGAGTCACACAACGTATGCCAGGAACCTGGTGCCTTCCAGAAAGGTTGTTGTATCAACTTGGAGTCATAGAATGGACTGCTTGTTTCTCCTTGGGACCCATCTCGTCATCATGTTGGTATTCTAGTCGAGTGATAATTCATTTAAAAGAATGCGTAATTTCCTGAAATTTGAATTCCTAAAGGGAAGGATTTTTACCTTTCAAATAAATAGTTGAACATGTTATTTTCAGAGTTATGAAAGTGCCTGAAAGAGACAGAGCCTGTCATGCAATTTTTCACTCTTGTCCACTGTTTGTCTTCTGTGTTATAGCTGAAATAAAGAAAACAGGTTTTTTTTCCTGACTATAAAGCTTTTTTTTGGAATATTTGGCATAATATTTAGCAATGAAACAATTGAGAAGACCTTGAGCTTTTAACATTCAACTGATGTAGTCATTTCATGTACCCTTTAAGTAGGAAAATCCATCTAATTTTGGTATAAATGGCTTTTTAGAAAAGACATTTAATTTATTTATGAGGTTTTAAAATAAAAAATTCTATTTTTATCCACTTCAAGGGTATTTCTTTACAAGTAAATTGAATTTTAGGATTAATTTTCATGCTGTAATATCTTACAACAATTAAAATAATTTAAATTTTTTTTAGAATTAGTGCTGGTTTTGTGTCTGCCTGCTAATCAAATGCATATTAAAATATTTGTGTGGTGGTTCACACATGCACACATCAATTTTTTTTTTAAAGGTATGAAGTTAACAAATGTAGTCTTTGTTAAGTAAAATGATGTATTGAATATTTTTACTCCTGATATTTCCTTGATTGAAACTTAAAAAGCAAATTACATACTTTGTGACAGTAGCATAGATAATTTCTACTTGCTGTTTTGTAATATTACTACAAACCTTGTGCTATTCAAATATTATGTCTTGAATTCTCTTTCAAGGTTTACAATTTTCTTTTTCTTCCTCCTTTTTATCCCTTTGCTTCTTTCCCTTTATTCTCTATTTTCCCTTTTTACCTGTTTCTTTTTAAACCCTTTTCTTTTTCTCTGTTGGTAATCAAGTGCATTGTCTTCAGTAGAAACCTTCTTGTACATTTCTTAAAGTATGATTGATTTCCTCTAGAATCAACAGTATTATAAAATGTTAGTATAGTGAAAATTTGGTTATAAACGAAATCCTTTATTTAATTCACCTGAGAAAATTTCAATGTGCATTCCCTAAGTGATGGCAGTGACCTGAGTAAAGTATAACTGACTGTAAAGTTATTCACAGCACCAACATTTTTCTATTGTTTTTTAGCAATGGAGAGTGAAAGTAAGAAAAAAAAATATATATACAATTCAAAAGGTAACTTTACTGTATGAGAATCTGTGTGTGTTGTCTTTGGTTAGTTTCATTTAGCTGTTTACTGAACTTGCATTTTATTTGAGTCCAGAGAGACAAAAAAGTAATTAGAAAAGAAAATAATGTGTTCCTATTTGTAAAGGCAGGCTTGTGGAGCTGTGTCAGAGTTCAAAAATATGTTTTGCTGCTGCTATACCTAAATCCTTAAGGCACTGAATACCTCACTTTGCCTGCTCTGGAAACGAAAAAGCTTGCCTGCAAGGACATTTCGTTTGTCACCAGGAGAAGTGATACAGCCACAGCTATGAAGTCCCTTCAGTGGTGCTACAGAACAACACATTTGCAGTTATTTGGCAACTAGCATACTGCTAGCAGTAATGATAAACTAGAATGTAGTTGCCTTCTGCTGCCTGCTCTCTGGAGGTATATGACATTTAGTTCTGAACTGACATTCGGTTTCCTATTGGTTTCCCAGGTCACTTCTAAAAGTTTGTTTTGTAGCGTGTTGAACTGTTAAAGGTTATTATTTCAAGGTCTATATCAAGAAGTTGCATATGCTAACTTTAATATGTAGGATGACAGAGAGGAAACAGGTTTACTATGCATATGACAGAAGATTTGTAATTACAGCCTAATTAAATTTGAAATTAAAAGATGAGAAGGATTCCAAGAAAATTAAATTAAGCTGTTTACAAAAATAATATAAAATAAAAACATATGAGATACTTAATGTGATTGATTACACAAATGCTAATTCATTTTTAGGATATTGTACTATTGCTGCTTAGCAACAGTACAAAAGATCAGCTAAATTACATGGTTCTTGCATTGAGTAATATCACTGAACAGTTAAAAGAATCTAGTATATTTAAAATAGTTATTATACAGCTGCTTATTACACTTTTAAATATGTCTGTAATTTTCCCCCCCAGAAATAAATTTATTATTTCACTTGGAAGAAGAGGCAATTTGCATGTAAAATGAAGTAATGAATTATGTAGAAACCTTAAAATAATATTACTGGGTTTTGGTCAACCATTTTGACAGGAAAATATGTTATACGCTGGGTATTGGTCAGCATGAAAAAGATCTTGATCATATTCTAGACTGCAACACCAATAGTTTCTAATGAATTTTGGCTGTCCTCATAGATGAAACACAGTACTTTTTTGAGGAGGAAGAGGTTGGTTATGCTTGCATTAGGTAAATAAAAAGGCATGACTCCCCAGAAAACCAAAAGTATTTATTTCTGTTTAGAGGCTTTGCTGGTTTGGTGATTTCATAGAGAATAATAATTAGACTTCAAGATGCAAGTTTTGAGAGACAAATCACAAGCATTACCTCAGTAAATATTTAGTTCCATTTGTAACACTCTTTTCATTACTGTATTTGGTCTCAAAATATATTTTGCCTAAGAGAGTTGGTGCTGTAACTTCTTTTTAAGCTATCTTATAAAATATGTTCTTTGCTGTTTAAAATTATTTTAATTATTAATTGTAGTAAATGGAAGTTTTGATCACTGATCAACTTCAGGTTTCTTCTAAGTGGTAGAAGGTAGCACACAGGGAATCAAACAGTCTGTGTAGGTGATGTAGGATGCTGCTGTTCTAAGTGGATGCTGTCAAAATGCCACATTAAACATGAGGAGTTTGGCACTGCCTTGTGAATCACCAAGTGCATCAGCGGGGTAGCACTTCCCTGCAGCCCTGTCTGTCTGAGGGAGCGTGGTTTCAAAAACAACAGCCACTTCGGGGGAACCTTGTAATGGGACAAAATATCTTCTCACCAGCTGATTCCTTACAAGGTCATAGCCTTAAAGATTGTAAATGGTTGCTTGGTTATTACTACTATTTTTTACATATTAGTTTACAAAAGCAGTTTCCCTAATCAAGTAGGTTTTTTTTTTCATCTGTGGATAAAGCTTGCCAGTGGTTTTCTAAAAACAGCAACTGAAAAAAGGTTTTGTGTGCATGAGTGCATACATAATAAGCTGTTGTATTTCACATGCCCATCTTAAAACTATAAGCACTGATTTAGCTTTATGAGATCACTGATGCTGGTAAATATGCCCTTTTCACAGAAGATTATTGAAGATTAATTGTGAAATAAACCCTTTAGTCAGGAAGGGAGATGAGGTGGTTAGTTGATGCAGAAACATAAAGAATAGCATAACTATAGGAGCATAGACACCAAATTAAAAACTGATTATGAAGTCCTACAACTTAGTCACAGTAATATAAACCTTCACATTTATTGCTACGTTAATCTACAGCATATATACATATAGAAAAATGTTTGTTCACCTTATTTATGGCCAAATATAAATGCTAAAATACTAGATTTTTTTGGTTTTGGAGGGGTCAAGTCTCAGGTTACGTGGGCCTTTCTTGGCATTAATATTAAAATATGTAAACAGAATATATAAAAGTGTGAAGAAAAATCTGAGGCTTTTAAGAAGGTTTAACCATGTACCATTTAATCAATCTGACTCTGTAGTGAAACAGGGAAAAGTTTAAATCTAAGTATTTTATGTTTATTACATTATACAGCACAAGCCATCATCTAAAAAGCCCTCCAACCCTTCCTCCCCCCAAAAAACCCAAAACAAACCCAAACCCAAAACAAACCCAAAATTTAATGTTTATCTATTCATTCAGTGCCTTGTTGTTTTCTTAAACATTTGGGAAAATGTAGGGTTTTTTTCCCTGGGATCTGTTGATTATTGTCAGTCTCAAAATTGATTTTTTTTTTTATCTAATGGTTTTGCAAAGTTGTTCTAGATGAAGATGTAACACTGTGAATTGTCTAATCTACAGTCTTGCATTCCATCTTGCATTTTCAGACTCCAGTCAATCTTACTTTGCTTGAAAATTCTTGAGCTTTACTTCACTGGAATACTGGGTGCAGTTCTGCATGATTGTAGTGAAGGCATATTTGTTGGGAGTGGAACAGACGCAGACAAACTCTTCTGAGATCACCAGAGGAAAGCAGGACATGAGACATGACTAGAAAAGCTTGTCCAAGCAGGTTGAAACTAGCCTTAAAGGCAGGCAGAAATAAAATACTGGAAAAAACATTTAAGCTGAATATGAATGCTGGTGAGGAACTATGCATACATTTTGGTTTGGTTGCTTGTTCCCAGGCTGCCTCTTTGTCTCCTACCTCCTGTACCACTGTTGTACAGTTAGTGTTTATATGGGTATCAGGAAGCTCATTCTAGCGGGGAATCCTGCCCATTTGCTTTTCCTAACCTGGAGCAGCATCGTGATTGAATTTGCTGTGTTGGCACAATAGAATGAGAGGGGAAATCCAAGTGCTGAAAGTGGTGCAGAATTATGTAACATAAGTGATACCCCAGGATATTCCAGTCCTTAAGATGTGAGCCATCAGAATTAAGGTCCATGATTTAATTCCCTCTTTTTGAAATTATATAGACCTTCACTCATAAATGGTAGCTGAACTGCTCCAAATGTAAACTATTTTAGCTATTAAATTTTTCAATCTACATATGTGATTATTGGCTGTGCTTTTTTTGTGGTTTTATTTTTTTTGTTGTTGGTTGGTTGTTTTGTTTAAGTGAAGTCAGTGTAATTGTTACCATGTATAGTCTGGTTAAAGTTAGAGCCTCATAATTCCATGTGAATTAAACTCTTGGATTGCATCCACACTAGGGGGCTGTGTTGCATTAACAATGTTTCAAAGAGTGATGTACTAAGAGCAGAGCCCAAACTGTAAAAACAATTTGTAAGCAGTACTTTTCCCTACATAAAAAAGTGGATGGGAGCAGAAAGTAAAGGGGAATGACTTGCAAGTTAGACAAATACAAGGTAGGAGCAAGGAAGTTTTATTATCTGTGTACTTAGATGAAAAGTTGAAAAGGTGAAGTTTAGGGATGAAGTGATGCTGTCATTGTCATGAGATGAGTGGGAAGGCTGAGATTGGAACCCTGGTTACTTCAGTGCTAATGTGGTGCCTCAGAAGTGGGATGCATAACCCAGTTTTCTGG